GGGAGGTCTCGTCGAAGCCTGTTGGAGCGTCTCGGAGGCGCCTCTTGGGCCCTCTTTTGGGGCTGTTGGGGATCTCGCGGGGGCCTCGTGGAGGCCCTTGAGGGTATCTTTGGGCATCCCGGGAGCCTCTCGGGGCAGAAAGCTAGAGTTCTCGGTTTGTGGTCCCTTTCTTGGTCCCCTCTTGGTGCCTTCTTAGATGCCTCCTGGGTTAGCTTGCGGCCCTGTTGACTCCTGTTCGGGCCCTCTTGGGCAGTCTTTGGGCCTTCTCGGGGGCCTGCTGTGCCGTCTTGAGGCGGTACTTGGGGCCTCTGGGGCCGTCTTGGAGCGTCGGAAGCCCGAAAAGGCGAGAAAGCGACTAATTTAGGACAAACGCATGAAAGTCAACGATTTTGGCCTCTTGGGGCCCTGGTGGGAGGTCTCTTAGACGCCACTTGGGGCGTCTTGGAGGCATCTTGGGCCGTCTGGAGGTCACCTTGGGCGTCTTGGGACGAGGTTTCGGCGATTCGGGGCCTTCTTGGACAGTGTTGGAAGTCTTTTGGTGCCCTCGTAGCTCGTTTTCAAGCCCTGGATGCCCCCCCCCGGCATAATTTCTGTGGCAAAGGACCCCCCGGGGAGCCTGCTTAGACCCCCCCCTTTTAAATCGACCGAATCAGGCTCACAGGGGAGGGGTTCGGAGAGGGGAAACATTTCACACGGCGATGAACCCCAAGGGGTCGGCGGACTTTGAGGATGTCTCAGGCGAAGCGTGTTTTCACGCTTGTTCCGCTCTGGGGCGAAAGGGGCCCAAACGTTTTCACGCCTACTGCATTCTGGGACGAAATGTACCCACGTGTTTGCACGCTTGCTGCGCTCTGGGGCGAATGGGACCAACGTGTTGTCACGCTTGTTGCGCTCTGGGGCGAACGTGCCCCATGTGTTTTCACGTTTGTTCCGCTCTGGGGAGAAAGGGACCCACGTGTTTTCACGTTTACTGCGCTCTGGCGCGAAAGGGACCCACGTGATTTCATGCTTGCTGCGCTCTGGGGCGAATGGGAGCCATGTGTTGTCACGCGTCCTGGCCACCCAGGGGCGGTCTCCCCCTCCTACATTTGAGGGAGCGCGCAGCAGCAGAGCAAACTCAACGAATCGGCACTAGATGCATAATCTCTTGACGCGTTCCCTCTTGGGGCTCTGGGGAGGCCTCCTGGGGCTTCCTGGAGGGGCCCCGCGTGTTTTCACGCTTGCTTCGCTCTGGGTCGACATGAACCCACGTGTTTTCACGCTTGCTCCGCTCTGGGGCGAAAGGAACCCATGTAATTTCCGGTTGTTCCGCTCTGGGGCGCAAGGGGCCTACGTGTTTTTCACGCTTGCGCCGCTCTGGGGCGAAAGGGACCCACGTGTTTTTACGCTTGCGCCGCTGGGGTGAATGGCACCCATGTAATTTCACGCTTGCTGCGCTCCGGGGCGAAAGTGGCCCACGTGTTTTCATGTTTGTTTCGCCCTGGCGCGCAAAGGGCCAGCGTGTCTTCACGCGTGTTCCCTGTTGCCGAGGCGGATCTTGAACACGAGGATTTGTTGAGGGTGTTTCGGGCGAGTCGCGGGTCTTTACGTGCCCAGGTCGCCCAGGCGGATCACACCCATGAGTATGTGTTGGGGATGTTTAGGGCGAACTGCCCGCTCTGCAGGATCTGTTGAGGATGTCTCGAGCGAGGTCCTCGCCTGCAGCGAACGGCTCCTTCTGCAGGATGTGTTGAGGATGTCTCGAGCGAAGCGCTGGATTTTCCATGGTTTGAGAAGGTGTCGAGCGGGGGCCCTGTCGTCGTATCGGTGCTTTTTGTTTCTGTCCGGATTCGCCCCGTGATCGGTTCGTTCCACTTCTGAACTGAATCGAATTTTGAGTTCGAGCTGGTTGAACGCCCCGCATGTTTCTCACCCGCCTGTCGTGATCGCGCTCGGTCCGCTCCGTTGCGGAACTGAATGTCTCGGGCAATGGTTTCGGAACTGAATGGGATCTTGAGCTCCTCGGGGCAAGTTTTTGAGACCGCGCCCTGCCTGACCCGTGAAAGACCGTGAAAGACGGGGCCGTTGTTGTGTTGGGGCAACCTTGAAGCTTCCCTCCTTTCTCTCAGGCTTTTTGTTCTGGCTGTTCATTTCGCTCTTCGTGCGGCCCTGGAATGGCCAGCCTGCCTAGGGTTCCGTTTCCAAGTCGTGTCGACCTCCTGCTCGTTTTCCCCCCTTCAGCAGCAGATAAGTTTGAGGATCGACGCCAATGCAGCTCTGTTGGCCCGAGGTCAACGGGGAAAGTAGCCGAGAAAAACATGAGGGCGAAGGACCACAATATGACCAACATCTGCAGAGGGAGTCGGGCAATTGTTGTATGCCCAACTCGCTCGTGCACATTTGTTTTTTTCCAGCCAATTCCACCACCATCCTCCCACATTTAGCCCATGAGGTAGGGACCTCGGACCAGAACATTGCCTGGCAGCATGTGCGCCATGGAAGAGTCTTATGCTGCAACGCCCCCCAGCGTCCACTAGAGCTCTGATCCCGCGAAGTCCAGGACCCACCGAGGAGCATGCTTCCGAACCTCGCATAACAAGCTGTTTGCCAGCGTGGGCCCCAAACACACATTCATTGCGCTATATATATGCGAAGGCTATGTGGTCCAAGCTATGAGACGTAACCTGCGAGGTGCACGCTCTGTGGTGCAAGCTATCTGGTGTAAGCTACGTGGTGTAAGCTATGTGGGGTAAACTTTGCGGTGCAAGTCATGTGGTGCATTCCTGCGTGGTGCAACCTATCCGGTGTAAGCAAGGCGGTGCAACACATGTGGTGTAAACCGTGTGATGCCAGCTATGTGGGGTAAGTTTTGCCGTCTAAGCTACGTGGTGAAACCCATGTTGTAAAGGCCATGTGCTTTAAGCCACGTTGTGCAATCCAAAGTGGTGCAACCTGTGTGGTGCAAGCTAGGCGGCCGCCCAGCGCACGAGGCCCCCACGGGGCCCCCACAGGGCGCCCACAAAAGGCAACGGGCGGGCACCAGGCGAAACCTCGGCACACCCACCCAGCGCACGAGGCGCCTTCGGGCGGCCACGGGCGGGCGCCAGGCGAAACTTGAGCACACCCACCCTGCGTACAGGCGCCCTCGAGGCGTCCATGGACGCCCACCAGTTGAGCAACCAGCCGAAAACCCGGCCACACCCATCCAACCATTTCAAAGCGAAAAGTGGGACCCCCTAAGCCTAATGAGCACTGGTTGGGGAGCTTCTTGACGTCTGCGTCCTCTGCAGGGAGGAGGGGCGAGTGACGGAGTCGAGAGATCGAGGATCGAGGGTCGGGGTGCCCGAGAGGACGGCCGCGAGCGGAGCCCCGCGTCAAAGGCGGGGCGCGCCTCCGCTGCCGCGGCAGAGCTCTGCGGGGCCTCGGCGTGCCGCCCGGGGTGTGCCGCTCGCTCGCCCTGCGCCCGCCTGCCGGGGCAGCCGCCTCCTGCCCGCGCCCGTGCCCAGGCCCCCAGGCGCTGCAGAACACGTCGTGACGGCCGCTTTCTCGTGGTCTTTGGCTTCCGGAGGCCGCTTCCCGGCCCCGGGGCCGTCAGCAACACGGCTCAGGAGGAGAGGCCGGCCCCGGGGAAGTGGCCGAGCCCCACGGGGACCGACGCCACGAGAAGATCGCAGCGTCGGAGGAGAGGGCTCGGCGGTGCCCACACCCTCTGGCCCTCTGCCAGACGCGTGGCCGCGTGCTGGGCCGCCGACGCACGGCCCTTGCGGCCCGGCCTCGTGCCGATGAGCTGGGCGTGCTGCCCCGCGTGTCGGAGAGGTGCCAGGCGAGGTAGCGGCGGTCCTCCCGAGCGTTTTTCGTGTTGTCCTCCTTTGGGGGCCTCCAGGAGGCATCTCGTCGCCACCGCTGGGCCCGCCCCAGAAGAGCGGGTCGCGATGGACCCAGGAAGGGGTTCCTGGGGCCGGTTTTGAGGGGATTCGGGCCAGGCGGGAGAGTCGTCGCTCGATTGGCCCCCCTCCGACCGTCGGAGTGCCGATCAGCATCCCCTCTGCAGGCGAGGCGGCGACTGGCCGCTTTGCCAGCGACTGGAGCCGCCGCCGCACTATCCCTTCGCACGGGATGGGGAGGCGAAGGCGAGCTTTCTCGGCCCGATGACCCGCGCCGAAACGGCCACGGGCGACGACGCGGATGGTGGTGCTGATTACGTAGATGACGATGATGTTGAAGATGATGGCGGTGGTGAAGAGTGAAGAGGACGAGAGTCGCCATCGTTGTCGTCGTATTCGCATTCGCGTTCGCAGTCGTCGTCGTTGCTTTCGTGTTCGTCGTCGTCTTCGTCGTCGCAGCTCGAAAGCGATCGTCGGGGAGTGGCCTAGACGACGTCTCAGCGATCGGCCTTGGTTGAGTTTTAAGACTCGGCCTTCCCTCCTTCCCGGCGGACTCGGAGGCTGCCAGAACTCTTACCGCTTGTGAGTCTCTTCCATGACTTGAATCCGAGCTGACGGGCCAGCTCCCGAGGCCGTCACGCGTTCTTGGCGGCCGCCTATGTTTCATTGCACCTCGACGAGCAAATCCAGGCTCCGTAAGAAGCTTGGAACGACAGGGTAGTACATATTTCTATATCTACACAAGACGTGCGGCACTCGACGCGGGCAAGCCGATCGTCTTCAGAAGTTGCGCTGGGACGGGTAAGCAAGATCGCAGTCGTCGTTGCAGTTGCCGTCGTCATCGTCGGTTTCAGGGGCGGTCACAGTCGCAGTCGTGGTCGGGCTCGTCGTCGTGGTCGTCGCAATCGCAGTCGTCGTCGTCTTCGTCGTCGTCGTCGTCGTCGTCGTCGTCGTCGTCATCGCCGGCGTCGTCGTCGTCGTCGTCGTCGCCGTCGCAATCGCTCGGCTGCGGTCGTCGTTGTCGTCGTCGCGGTCGTAGGCGCCGGCCGTCGCCTCAAGCGCAGTCGTTATCGGTCGCCGTCGTCGTGGTCGCTGGCGGCGGCGACGGCGGCGGCGGCGGCGGCGCAGCCGCGGCAGGCGTCCATACAGACGCTGGCGCAGGAGATCGAGGATCCGGCCGGAGGGCCTGGCAGATCGACCTTCCTGGGGAGGAGGAAGGGGAGGAGCAGGAGGAGGAGGAGGAGGATCGAGTGCTCGAGGACTCCAGGGTTCGAGGGTTTTAGGATCAAGGATGCGAGGGTTCGAGGAGCAGGATGAGTAGGATCGAGTGTTCGAGGACTCGAGGGTTCGAGGGTCAAGAATGCGAGGGTTCGAGGGTCGAGTTTTCGTTTACCCGAAGATGAAAGGCGGCTCGATCATCGTAGGTCCCTTTGGATTTCTCGGATCGGCCTTTTGCCCCCCTGGCGGTGCTTCTGGCGCCGTTCCGCGCTCCGCGCGCAAGGGAGAGGGGATCCAGCGTCGATCCAAGAACTCCGTGCAGTGCAGACCCCCGACAGTTCGAGCGTTCGATGGCAGAGATTTTGTTGAGATCCTGTGACCTTTTTGGAGCCTCTGGTGGGCTTCTCCGTCGCCTCGGCTGGACTGTCTTCGAGATCCTGGGCAAGGAGCGGACCGGTCCGGGGACCGACTTCTTGAGGGGAGGAGGAGGGGGAGGGGAAGGGGGGGAGGAGAAAGGCCAGAGGGAATCCAGGATGCATCAACGATGCTGCAATGCAGGCATGCCTAGTCCGAGGTCCCCTCCTCACGAGCCCATGCATGCATGCCTGGTCCTTGTGGGAGGCGCCCCCCCTTTGAGCGACGAGTGCCCCAGGGCCTGCCATCCCAGCGAGGGCCTTGTCTGGAAAAGAATCTGCCCTGCAGCCTTCCAGCTGTGAGGAGTGCTGCAGCCGGCCCTGCTTAGTAGGCCAACCCTGCCACATCGAGGGTGCCCTTAGGATAGAGGAGGAGGAGGAGGAGGAGGAGGAGGAGGAGGAGGAGGAGGAGGACACGAGGAGGACGACGACGACGACGTTGGTGGCGACGGGAAGACTCGATGCACTAGGAGGAGGAGGATTGTTTCCTGTGTTTCGCGACTCATGCCTTCGGCATTCCTATGGCAACGTGGCCTTCGGAAGGGTCCTGTGTCCTGTCGCGAGTGTTCTCCAATCAAGTCCGACTGCACGGAGCAAGGATCATACAGTTCGGAGTGTCCACTGATAGCGCCATTTGGAAAGGGATCAGCACTGGATCCGTGCCGCAGTTGCGTAGTTTTGACCGCGATTCTCTTGTTGTTGACGACGCCTCGTGCGAGGACCCCATTTTGAAATGAAGCCGCCCTGTGTCCGTGTGGCTGTTACACAGGTTTTGCACATCTGGCCATATCATTTTGTTTCATTTTGAAAGGCACGGCTCTCCAGCCATGTAGCTGTTGGATTTTGTATGACAAGAGTGCGCGGCGCAAACACGATATCCACATGTTCGGAAGACATCGCTTTCGAGCTTCGCATCTGCTTGAAAGGCGAATCCGCACGGCGCATAGGCCAGAGCCACATTTGGAGAACTATCTGCCCTCAATCCTTGTAGTTGCTATACGTTTCAAAAGCTTCAGGACCAGAAACGGTAAGGAAGTCTTTGGCAAACCCGCCCTACTGACACGTCTGGTGATGCGACGAGCTGGAGTTGGTTATAAGGCACAGGGTTAAGGAGGAGAAGGGGAGGAAGATCCGGAAGAGGGAGGGTGGGAGGGACAGATGGAACGCGGAGGGAGCAGAGAGAAGGAGCCAGAGTATGACCAGGGATGGGGGAGGGAGGAGGAAGGAGGAGGAGGAGGAGGAGGAGGAGGAGGAGGAGGAGCAGCAGCAGCAGCATCATCAGCAGAGGAGGAGGAGGAGGAGGAGGAGGAGGAGGAGGAGGAGGAGGAGGAGGAGGAGGAGGAGGAAGAAGAAAAAGAAGAAGAATAATAATAAGAATAATAATAATAATAAGAAGAAGAATAATAAACAGAAGCAGAAGCATAAGCAGAAGCATAATAAGAAGAAGACGAATAATAAGAATAATAAGAAGCAGAATAATAATAACAATAAGAAGAAACATAAGAAGAATCATAATACGAATAATAATACGAATAATAATAAGAAGAAGAAGAAGAATACGAAGAATAATAATAATAATAGGACGAACAAGAAGAATAAGAATACGAAGAAGAACAATAAGAATACTACACATAATAATAAGACTAATAATAATAATACTAAGAAGAAGAATAATAATAATAAGAAGAATAAGAAGAATAATAATAATAAGAATACTAATAAGAATAATAATAAGACTAATAAGAAGAATAATAAGAATAATAAGAATAAGAATAATATTAATAAGAAGAAGAAGAAGAAGAGGAGGAGGAGGAGGAGGAGGAGGAGGATCAGCAGCAGGGAGGAGGAGGAGGCGGAGGCGGAGGAGGAGGAGGAGGAGGAGGAGGAGGAGGAGGAGGAGGAGGGTCGAAAGTGCCCCACACTGCTCTCGTTGCGAAAGAGGTAGTGGCGGCAGCCCCGCCGCTCCCCTGCCGGGTCGGGTTCCCGAGTGGGCCAGTCTCGGGCCGTCGAGGTCGAGTGCTTTTTTGGGCCCACGCTCTGAAACAGTTTCGACGTCGGAGGCCTGGGGCTGCGAAGGAGCAGGGAGAATTGAGGAGGATGATGATGATGATGATGATGAGGAGGAGGAGGAGGAGGAGGAGGAGGAGGAGGAGGAATGGGAGCATGTTTGGAACCATTGCCCTTCTCTCACGCCTACTGTCCCCCTGGACTGCCCTGGCTGGCCCCCGAGAGCCCAGCCGAGAGGACCTCGCTCTTGCCATCGAGGAGCTCGACAAGGCCATGGCCGAGGCGACGGAGCTCCGGCAGCAAGAGAAGGCCTGGAGCCCCACGGTACCCTGCCTCTCCAACGTCTGGTTGCCGTGGAGACAGTCTCACCGTCCCCCTATACAGACACGGCTAGGCCCTTTCCTCCTCCTCCTCCTCCTCCTCCGCCTCCTCCTCCTCCTCCTCCTCCTCCTTCTCCTCCCCTGCCCTCTGGGCCTCCTGGGAACGTATATGAGCCCAGGAGGCCAGGAGTGGCAGTCCCCACCTTGCGCCCGTGATGCCCTCGGAATCTATGGTCTCAGAACGCCTTCCCTTTTCGGGTCGTACTCGTTTCCTGTTGACGGAGTTGGACACTCCTTCGACGGCCGCAGGCCGCCGCCTGCCCTAGTCATTTTTTGGCACAAGCTGTTGAGCGCACTCTCGCTGAATCTGCGTTGGCCAGCTCGGACCCCCCAAAAGGGCAACATTTGAAAAAGTGGTCCTTTGGGGGCGCGCTCAAGGCGTATTGCCCTCTTCCAGCTCTGGGCCTTTCCACGTTAGCTTTTTCGGGTCCGAGGGTCCCACGGCTTACCGACAGGCCGCACCAGGCCAAGCCGTCATCCGGGCCCAGGCGCCAAAGTATTTCCCGATCCACTCCCCAGAGCCCAGCCCTGGAGATTCTGAAGTGGAGCTCGTTGTTCAGACTGCCAACGTCACTTCGTGGCACTTGGACTCGGGAGGTGGACTCAAAGCTTGGCTGCCAAAATGTGGAGCACATGTTCTTCTCCTCCAAGAGCACCATCTGCTAGAGCCTGAGCTCACGGAGGCCATCGGATGGGCGCATCGGCACGGGTGGAAAGCGGTTTTTGGGCCTACTGCCCCAGGGGTCGGGCACGGTACTTCTTCGGGAGTCGGCATCCTGGTCAAGAACTCTCTCGGGTGCCACGCGCCCCCGGGGGGGGCACATGATCGATCAGCATCGGTCTACCGGCGCCATGATTCATGCTCCTGGTGGGGACCCTGTTTTCGTTTGTAGCACCTACATGCGCACAGTCGAGGGGCTTTCGGAGGCCAACGTTGAGCTCTTGGCACATATCGGCACAGTTGTTGAGAAGGTTGCCCTCCCGTCCATCATCGGGGCCGATTTCAACATGAGCCCCGACCTGCTCGCATCCTCTGGCGTTGTTAATAGGCTGCGCGCTCAGTTGGCTGTCCCGAAGGATGTGGTCGGCACGTGTGGCGCGAGTATGCTCGATTACTTTATCGTCACGTCTGGACTTGCCAAAGGTATCTCGCATGTCGACGCTGTGCACACATTGAACATCGTCACTCAACTACCTGTGCAGATGCGGTTTCACGCAGGTGTTCGGCAGCTGCACGGTTTCGGAAGCCGCCGCCGCTGCCGACGGAGCCGCCCATCGGCCCCATCCCGCCGCCGCCGGCCTGGACAGCAGTCCAGAGCGAAGCTGGTCGAGCTCTTGATGCTTGTCGTAGCGGCGACGCGCATGCTGTACAGTGCAAGCTCGACGCCCTCTATAAGCACTGTGCTGACACCGCGGAGAAGGAGCTTGCGGGGACCCGACAAACCACCCTTCCATGTTGGGGGAGCAGGGGAAAGATGCCTCAGCAGAGGTGGGTCAACATCTTAGAGCAAGATCGGCAGGCCCCCCATCGTCAGCCCAAGCTGTATTCCATCAAATGGTTAGTAAGTTCAGGCTCCTCCTCAAGCTTGACGCGGTCGCCATAGGATCCGCCCAGGCCCAGGAAGTCCGTTCGCTCCTGTTGGGTCCGCCAGCTTTTCTGAAGCATGGGCTGGATGTCCACGCTGACCAAGTCATGCGAGTGCAGCAGTTTTAAGGTCAGCACGACTTGCTCGATTTGAAGACTGGAGAAGCCATACTGTCTGACTTAGATGAGTACCTCGCTACTTACGCCGTCAAGGCCAAGTCGCAGGCTCTGTCCGAGGGGAAGGCGTGGCTCCTCCAGTCTATCGGCCAGGGCACCAGGAGAGCGCATCAGCACGTGCGAGGCAGCCAGCCGTGGACCCCTTGACCACCACCTTGAGCCGAGAGGGGGCGGTGATATCTGACCCTCTTGCCCTGCTTGGTGCTGAGGCCAGCAAGCTCAGTAAGTTATGGGGGGCTGTCGGCACCCCGCCCAACCCTGACCCCACGTTTCAGTATGTTGAACCCCTCCCACGGCTCATGGCTGATGAGCTTCGGTCTGCTTCCAGGCGTTATTCTTCGCGGTCCGCCACCGCGGTGGACGGGTTCCACATGAAACATGATGCTTCGCTCTCCGACGGCGCCCTCGGGGTCCTGGGAGCCATTTACTCTATCATGGGGGCCTCTGGGCTTTTTTCCTGGTCTGGTTTCCTTGGTGGTCCTTTCGTTGCCGCGCGAGCCCTCGGGGGGCTTTCGGCCCATTGGGCTGTTTTGTAGCTCCTACCGCCTCTGGGGGCGGTGCTGCCGAAAATGCGCGACCCAATGGGAAATCAGTTCCCAGAGAAGCTACTTCGCAGGTTCTCAATTTTCCTCTGCCGTCGATGTCGTCTGGAGGCAAACGTTGCGTGCTGAAGGAGCGGTGGCCAAGCAACAATCTTGTTGTACCCTGTTGTGGGATCTCTACAACTGTTTCGAGCTGGTTCAAGTGTCCACGCTCCCCCAGCGTTGCCACCAGTACAAGTTTCCCGTGCAGCTTGCGAGGCTAGCGGTGCGTGGATATCGGCACGGCAGTTACGTCTCTTTGTCAGGTCTGGTGGTCGGACCTTTCTTTGTCGACCGAGGCGTCGTAGCTGGCTGCGGTTTCGCAACCGCCATGGTGCGCATCAGTGCCATTCCAGCGTTCGACGCGCTGAAGTTGCCCCCAGGTATCACCCTTGACGTCTACATGGGCGACTACGGCCTTAGCTGCATTGGCGCGAGCGCCTACATTGTTGGGCACCGCCCAGAGGCCGCAGCGAACTTCAGGGAGGCCATCGAAAATGACATGGGTGCGGTTATTTCGGTTGATAAGGCCTCCCTCGTCGCCTCGCCGGACGCGCTTGCAACTCAGGTCAGAGATTGTCTTGGAGGGCTCGCTGGGCCTTCTGTGCAGTCGGCCGCTAACTCGGGCATTTATTTTGCCCCTGGTTGCTCCCGTCGGGCCCCTGGGTGAGGGAAAAAGGCCGCTGACCGAAAGCGAGTTTTTGAGATGAGGCTCAGGAGGCTCAGGAGGGCCACGCGACCTCTTGGTAGGCACGCTGCCAGAGTTTTTACTGTTGGTCCCTTGCCCAGCTTAACTTTTGGGGCCGAAGTCCACGGCCTTTCTAGTTGTGAGTTGGATCGGCTGCAGACAGCCGCCGCCAGCACCATGCAGCCCTCAGCCAGGATGAGGTCACGGACCTCGCTGCTCATTCCCTCCCAGGACCCGACCTGGTACCCTGCCGTGACGCCTATCGTGTGCTACGCGAAGGAAATGTGGGCCATCCAAACCAATCTGTTCCCTTTTGTCACTCCTTGGTCCGATTTGCGGCTTGCCTAGTCCTTGGTTTTTGGCTCCTCGGGCCCCAGAAGTTGGCGGGGGGTGAAAGGGCCCCTGGGGGGCATGAAGCTCGCCCTGGATCGGAATGCCTGGAGCATGCCTAATTACTGCACCCTCCTGGACGATTTCGGGACCGAAGTTTCGCTCGCTGTCGCTTCCCCTGCCCTTCTTAGGAAGCTTTTGAAGGCCGCGGCTCAGAGGGTCCATGAGCGAGCTAGTGGTGCTGCATTGCTTCCTCGCTCGCCTGGTGCTCGAGTTTGTCGCGATGTGGTGGCAGCTACCCTTCGCTCCAAGAAGGGCGCCCCTACGCGGCGCGGGTGCGCCGCATCAGTCGCTTGCAATGCCACTTGGACCCGGGCGGGAGCCGCTGGAGCAGGATATGACGTCGATGCGTTGTGTGACTTATGTGGAGATTCACCCGATACTATACTCCATCGGTTCTGGTTCTGCTCCGCCTGCCACGACAAGAGACAGGAAGTGTTTGATAGTTTCAAGGGGAGGTTTACCCTCGTGCCTCCGCCTGACCTGTCCCCCGAGAAGGATGAGGAGGATTTCTTGCTGTGCACCAGATGTCTTTTTCGGCATCCAGGTGATGTGTTCCCCTTTCCTGCTCGGGATGATGTTGGGGGCGCCGGCCTTGAGGTTATATGGGCCTGCGACCGCGCCAGCAAGTCCTTCGCTATACCTGGTCACATTTTCGTCGACGGGTCGTGCGTTATGCATGCAGCCAAAGAACTCTCCAGGGCTGGGTGGGGCATCGCGGTCGTGGGGGATGACGGCGACGAGGTCTGCCGTATCAGTTGTCCTCTGTGGGCCCCCAACCTCCAAACCGCTCAGGGTGGGGAATTTGGAGCCTACGCGGTTGCTGCTATGCATGCCATGCCTGGGAGTTCAGTTTACTCCGACTGTAAAAACGTCGTCGTTCAGGCTAACGAACCTCTGCAGCGTGCCCTGTCCTATAAGCGTGTGTATTCTGGCTTTTTGCTCCCCGCTCATCGGAAGCTGGTCAAGGGAGTTTTCGAGGTGAAAACCCACGTTGAAGAATCTAGCGATCTCACCGAGTTGGAACGTTTCTGGAACCTGGGTAACGACCTAGCTGACAGCGCTGCCAACAACTTACTAGTCAGGCACCCACAGCCCGACCCTGGTGATGTTGAGTGGTTGGATAGGTGCTTGTCCAATGCGAAGTGCGTTATGCGCCTCTCTGCTGAGCTCATGCCAGAGTGGCCTGGACCCGACCTCAAAGGCATTCCTTTGGTGCCCGAGCCCCCTAAGCCCAAGGCGGATCCGCTGCCTCATCAGTGGGTTCGGGTATCCAGTTTTGGCAGTGCTCTGAGTGTCTCAGAGTTGCCAAGGGCGTGCCACGCCTTTGCCCCAGTGGCAAAGGCAAACTTGGAGGTCTGGACCCGCCGTTCCCTTGGAAGTGCCTCAGAGATTCCAAGCTGGACCCTGCGGCTCTCTGCGCCCTTCAGCACAATTGTATTGCGTTGCCTTGCTCGGACGGGGCTGCGCTCACCATTTGCATGCGATGCTATGCCTATTCTTCCCATGGGCGGCCTCGCAAATTACTTAAGAAGTGTGACGGTCGTCCCCGGAGCGCGGGGGCGAAGTCTGCTTGGAGTTCTGTGGGGGCTGGCAAGCACCCCAAACGTGCTGGCATCTCCGTTCGCGGTCGGACCCGGGAATTGTGACCAGGACCCTGAGGAATTGCCGCGGCGCCTCACAGACCGTGAAAAAGGAGTTGCGCACCGCCAGGCTCGTGCGTAGACTTGTTGTGGCCGCTGGGGGAGCGCCAGGCCCGCCATTCGAAGGCCCACTGGAGGTCGAGCCCCCCCTGGACCAGGCTCCACATATGCAGGGATATCGAGTCGTCGAACCGTCGTCGTCCTGCACCAAGCCTGCCTCTGTGCCTGGGCCTGTTGCTTTCGACCCGCTTGAGGCCGAAGAGGAAACCGTTCGCTTTTTGGTTGGTGGCCCCGAGGCTTTTCCTCCTCGGAGTCCGCAGCCGTCGCTCGAGCCCTCGTCGTCGGCTGCGGTGTTGGCGCGCGTCAGGGACGCCCTCGCCCCCGAAGAGGATGAGGCTCCCCTTGTTGCGCCATCTGTGCCGCGGTCTGACGACTCAGACTAAGATATGCTGCTCAGGCCTCTCGGCTTGGGCAGCGTCTCGGCCTCGACCTCTCTTATACGTTCTTGGCCTATGGGGGGCGGGCGGTTAGCCACAGGGGATCCCCCCCTTGGCGGGATATCGCCCCGTGGCTTCCGCGCCCGCCCTCCCTTTGTTTTTTTACTGCTCGCTGGCCTGCTTTCACCCAGTCCAGATAGCAGGTGGCGATGGCTCGCCCGTCGTCTGTGGTGCACGGTTGATGTCAACAAACATCTTCCTCCTCCCCTTCCTCCTCCTCCTCGTCCTCCTCCTCCTCCCCCGCCCTCTTCCTCCTCCCCTTCCAGAATGCTATCTCATCTCTCTCCCCCGAGGACGTGTTAAGAGCATCGTTTCCCCCTCAGCGTGCGGTGCTTTGCAGCGGCTTCTGGAACGACGGTCTTTCGTTGTCCTCAAGCAGTGCTCGTACTTTGAGATTCTGATGCGGCCGTCCTTGCGTAATCGAACGGGTTTCTTAGGTTTTCGCCGCGTTGGCGCCCCGCCACGTTAGCGTTAAGTCGGGCCTGTCACTCTACAGGGGGAATCTTCAAAACTAGTCAAACCATAGTCAGGGGACGATTTTTTGACTATTTGTGACCATTCCGGGGCAGTTTTTGACTACTTTTTGGTTTTCGCCTCAAATCCCCCTGTAGGGAGACAGGCCCGACCTAACGTTAGCGCCCGTGCCCGCCCGTGCCCGCTCGTGGGCGCCTCGTGGGCGCCCCGTGCGTGGGGTGGGTTTCCAGGGGTTTCGCCTCGCTGGCGCCCTTGCCCGCTCGTGGGCGCCCCGTGGCCGCTCCGTGCGCTCACACCACATACAGTCGGCCCGGATGAGTAGGTCGACCCTGCCAGCTCAAGGGGTGCCCTCGTGTCCTGTGCCTCGCGACACGTGCCCTCCCACACTCCTATGGCGATGTGGCCTTCGCATGGGTCTTGTGTCCTCTCGCGTGTCCTCTCCAATCAAGTTCGACTGTAGCTCACACAACACAGTTCTCACCACATAGCTTACACAACAAAGCTTGCACCATATACTTTACACCGCCTAGCTTTCACCACATAGCTCACACAACATGTGTTGCACAGCGTAGCTCCGGTGGGTGGACAAAAAGAGGCTGCGACGAAGTGCATCCAACAAATCGATAGCCCCCTCCGTCCCGAAACCCAAAGTTGTCAGCGGTGCGCGCGAGGCAACGCGCGAAGTCCAAAATGCGGACGCTTCAGCTTTGGCAAAAATCCTGGCCTCGCATTGCGAAGGCCTACGACCCGTGCTGCCGACCCTGAAGGCGGGACCTCCCCCGGGACGCCCGCTGGCGACCCCCTCCGGGACCCGCCGGGACCCCGGGGAGGTGGTATCCTGACTCGGGACCCTCCCATACCACCCGTCCCCCTCCCTCAGGATCCCCCCCCCCCCCTTCTCCGGACCTCCCGGGACCCCGGGGAGGCGGCATTCCGACCCGAGAGGGCGGCGATTGCGGCAAGTGCAGGCTCATTACGACGCGCCCAGACTGTGCAAAGCTGCCCAGACGTCCCCAGAGGATCCCGATTGGCCTCCAAGAAACGTCCAAGAGGCTTTGCAGAGTCTCCAGGAAGCCCTCAGACGGTCCTGGCAGCCCCGGCCGTAGCCCGACAAGCACAACGAGCTCTCTTGTGGTTTTCGTTTTACAAGCCGAGTGGACAAACGCCTTGCTTCCCGTTCTTGTTCAGTCAGGTTCTACCTCGCCTTTAAGTGCCGGCGGGCGCGGTGGCGCATTTCGGTGTGTAGCGGAGGAGCGCGCCTGAAGGCCCTTGTGCGTGGCAAGTGTGCGTTCTTCCTGCGAGCGCGCAGGCCCGCCGATCTGCGTGCCCGCGCACATGTCCATGGGCTGCCCGCGGGCCGCGCCCCCGAGGCAATCCCAAACACGGGCCGGCGGGTGCCGCGGGGGGGCCTCCGAAGGCGGAGAACCTTGCGACGATCAAGGACGCGAAGGAGGCCCGCCAGCTCTCTCTGGGGGCTTTGGCAGTTATCATCGAGGAGGGGAGGATGGGGAAAAGCAGGATGGCCAGTATGGAGGAGGGACGAGGAAGCAGGAAGGCAAGGAGAGCGCAAGTGCCCCGGTGTTCCGTTCTGAGCTCATTCGGCGTCTGAGCCCGCTCTGCCGCCGAACGGGCCCACGATCGAGCCCAACCAGCGGCCGAATGGGCTCAATTTCCACCAAGGTCTCGGGATTGAGCTCATTCGGTGGCCGAACTGGCCAAGGCGCCGAATGGTTTGAGAAGGGAACCTTGGGGTGAGAAAGAGGTGGTAGGAGGAGGCTCCATGGCCCGTGCATCTGGCTGGTGCGGCAGGTTGTAGCTCAACTTAATGAAATCAGACTCGTGATGGCCCCATCCGTGAGCGCTGAACCTAGGTATTGAGGACGTGATCGATGTGGCTCTTGGATATTCATTAACATGATATCGAGGCGGATTGCGAACCTGAGAGCACAGCTCAGTTCTGACGATGGCGCCGCTGATGCTGATGATGACGATGATGATTTTGATGGTGATGGGGATGATGATGGTGATGGTGGTGGTGATGGTGGTGGCCTCGATGACGACGGCAACGCTGATTCTACTGATGCTGCGCGGGAGGAGGAGGCGGAGGAGGAAACGGTCGAGCAGCGCCGCCTTGAGGGGGCAGAGGGTGGGGCCCGCTCGGGTGGGGGCGACGGGGGTCATCTTCGCCCAGGCCCAGACCGCCGTCGCGGAGGCGCTTGCGATTGTCAAGGAATTTTATGCCAAGGCCCTGCCCGCTCTTCCTCTGCGAGGAGGAGGAGGAAGAGGAGGAGGAGGATGAGGATGCACAGGACGTGGAGGAGGACGAGGAGGAGGAGGAGCGGGAGCAGGAATGGGAGGAGGAGGGGGAGGAGATGACGAGGTCAGCCGATGAGGAGGCGACGGTGGAGGAAGACAAGGGAGAGCTTTAAGGCTGCAGAATTGGAGAGGAGGATGGAATTTTATGGAACTTGATGCAAGCTATGTGTTACATGTGAGGCGATCTGTAGCACACTGCCACATTTCACCTTGCAGCCGGCGAACTAAATAGACCAGTCGCAACAAACATTGCTTATGTGCGCGCTTCAATCGTGACGCCTTTTTCCAGCTCGACTTGCGCTTCGTTGCGCTAGGAAGGACAGGGGAACGCAAACAGAACGCCGAGCCTGATAGACAGACAGCGACAGAACACATACGCATTCCATGGTACGCTTGAGTCGTTCCAGACCCTGACTGCCAGAGCAAATTTCATTGGGGGAGCATGGTTTGCAACGTTTCCCCCGTGAGTGACGGTGCACGATCTGGAACATGCATCCGTGACATACGGAAGCAGGGGTATCCCATCTGGGGAAGAAGGGTGGACCTGCAAATAAGAGTTACCACATTTGCCAACAGACCGCATACGTCATTGTTTTTTCGCGTCCCCTCAGCTTTCCTCCTGCTTGTCCACAATGATTGCGCTGGCAAAGAGACTGCCCTCCCTCCAAGCTCCACTACCAACACCAAGCCCAGCACAGACCACCAGCGCCGACTGGCGATGGCAGTAGACCAGACCAGACTAGACCAATCGCTGGAAAACTACCCACCACCAAGGCCGATCACCATACACCATCAATACCAGCAACACCAAGCGGTGACGAACACAGCCACCCAGCAACACGGCACCACCAACTACGACATCGACGACAAGGATTCCTTCTCTTTCCTGTTTGTCTCACTGGCACGCATGTCTAAACATGCTGCGCTGTATCCAGAGGCTACGGCCTCGTTCACATGGTCTCCAGAGGGCCAGGACACTTGTCCGCACTGGTGGTCGTTCGTCGCTCGTTCGTTCCACTTCGTCCACCCCCTCCTTCTCCTCCACTCCCCCTGTTCTCTGGAACCATTTGGCCTCCGCTTCGCGGGACGCTTTGGGACAACAAGAATCGATGTGGTCAGCAATTGGCCAGTCCGAAACCTTGCCGATGATCATTAGGCTCGTCCAGGCCCCACCATAGAGTCTTGGAGGATAGAAGAGGGGCAGAGGGAGCGGAGAGGAACGACAAGGAAGAGATGGGACCCCCTCTCTCTGGAAGGACGGGAGGGGAAGAGAGTGAGAAGGAGGAGGAGGAGTAGGAGGAGGAGGAGGAGGAGGAGGAGGAGGAGGTGGAGAAAAAGGAGGAGGACGAGGAGGAGGAGGGGGGAGGGGAGGGAGGGGATGTGGAGGAGGAGAACCCTTGTTCCCTCCAAGGCCGGCGAGGCCACGGCGCTGGTGCAGCAGCAGCCGCCGCAGGCCCCCTGGGGTTCCCTCCGCTCTGGGCCAGGTCATGCACGCGAGGTCTTCGTGGGAGGGTCAGGAGGAGGGGGGTGGAGGCTATAGGATCGGGAGGAGGAGGCGGAAGCCCAGAGGATCTTCGAGCGTTGAGCACGGGCAGACATATACGTCCCTGCCGTCACGCGTGCTGCAGTCTCGGGTGTCTGCCCAGCGCGGGCCGCTCATATACCCCCCTGCTCCGCTAAGGAGTCGCGCAGCTCGGCTTTCGCCGTTACGTGGTCCGTTGGGCCCCCGGGCCCTTCATCAGTTGGGCCCGAGAGGTCCACTGGGGCAGTATATGCCAATCCAGGGGTCAGGACGCTTTTAGGGCTCAAAGCGATCTGTCAAACCTCTCACCCCTCAGGTCACATGATGCACTCCGCTGTGCGAGGACCTCCCAGTGCCGCAGCCCACGTCCTGCAGAGAGGGGGCCGGAAGCGCACCTCGGCTTTTGCCCTGCGGGCTCACTTCGGCAGGACAATCATGCTTACGGATACCTCGCCAGCGCTGGTGGCGGATCGTCTTCAGAGCGCATCGCAGCGGCAATGGGAAGTAAACACAGTCAAAAGCATATGATCGTTTTCTTTTCGTTGTTTTGCCGATCGGCGCGGGCCCTCGCCCCCCCCCCGTGGACTGGATCTTGGCTGTTTTGGGCGCCTGCTTCCCCCCGTAGGACCCATTGTCGCAAACAGTCGCACTAAGCAGAGGTCTGGGGCCAGACTCCCCCCCTTTCCGCCCAATGTCGAAGCGCCGAACTTTTGTTAACAAGAAAATTCACCATAGGGGCCCAAAACTAGGTCCAGGGTGTGTTTCGATGTTGTCAGGTTGTTTTCTGTCTCCTAAGAGCAAGGGGCTCACCCCTCAGCCCCGAACTATTATTCAAACCCGGGTTGTTCAATCATGGTGGACCGAAGGCAAGCTTGCTCAGCTTGTGATCAATTTTCACAACGATTGCCCGCCAGACGTTCAAGGGGCAGCATACATCATAGGCTTCATGGCTGCCAGCATCCATAGGCAATCGCAGTCAGGTCTTGCTGTTTGAAGCCAGATGCTGAGCAGGCCGCGCTCGTCGCACGGCTCGCTGTGCTGCTACGGCGTGTTTGAACACCCAGGCGAGCAGCATCATGATGTCCCACTTTCATTGGAATTGCCTACTGTAAAACTCAGGTGGCACGACGCTTAGCCAGAGACCGTCCACGACTTCAGGGGGCTCAAGGGGACTGACGGGACATGCGCTAGATCAGACATAGTTGAGTTAGATAGGGTTGCTTTCTCGGTGGTGGCGTGCAACAGCGACGGGGCCCCTCAAGCATCCTTTACCGGGGCCATTGCGGTTCGCCTCCCTCGACCCCGCAGGCTTTGGAACGTCCTCCCAACGGCCCTCACTAAGTCAGCTAGGTCTTGGGTGGACTGCAAGGCGGTCCTTGGCCAGTATGCTACGCCTTTGCCGCAGCGCCTCAGTGCCAAGCTGATGCGTCCTGGAATCCACACGCTTGCACTGGCGCCAGACAGTATGCCGCTTCTTCCAGAAACTATCAAGATTAAGAGCCACCATGACGTAGAGAGTTTTAGGCGGGAGGCCAGGTTAGCAGCCGAACCCAACCAGGTTGCCGTCAAGAGTCGTTGCTTGCCAGCGACGTGCCCAGGCAAGCCAACAACTAGAGGGATTAGGATGCATGCTCCGTCGGCTGCCCGCATGCAAACCTATTTGTTTCAGCCAATACATGGTCACGCCTCAGTATTACAATCGCTGGAAGCCGTGCGACACAGTTTGTTGAGCGCGAGAGAGCGCTGGACAAGCCACGGTTCCAGGTCCAGTTGCAGCCACAACCTCCGCGTGTTTTTCGGAACGAGGTGCAAGGGCTCTGCCGAGTCGTGAATTCCCTCAGGGAGCAAGATGACGAGGCGCACTTGTTGCCACTCCTGGGCTGTGCTGAGGGAGACTCGGACTAGCATATTCCGCTGGCCCCTGTCCTGCGCCCCTCCCCTCTTGGGACGTGCAGGCACCGGCCCCCCCGGGTGGCTCACGTTCGCGCTTTGCGCCTTGCCGCTCTCAGGGTCTTGGGCGCGCTCGGCGTGCCAGCTTGCCTGAGCGCGCACGGCTCGCGGAGGCAAGGCGCCCAATCTCTTTGCACTCGGCCTCCACCGCTGTGGAAACCTAGCGCCGCGCAGGCGGCAGGCCAGAGGCTGCTCGCCCACGGCCTCACGGGAAAATATCATTTAGTATGGGCCACGGCTGGCACGAGCTGATTCGACTTCGACGTTTCGACCATCCGATGCGGCTCGGTGCTTGCGTACCGGTGCTGTGCATCTTTGCGCGGTCGATCCGATCCGATTCTGGCCCCGTGTCGATGTTACCCGATCCGACGTACGTCCCGATCCGATCGGACCCCCCGACTCGAGTCTGGCCGATCCTGCCCTCAGAGCGTTCCAGAGCACCTGGGCGTGGCCTCGGCACCCCACACGCTGCGACCACGCGCGAACCCCGCCCGCCCTTCTGAGTCCAATCGACGCTGGGGTATCGGACACCCCTGTTTGGGTTCGCCCTTCGAATTCGGAACCCCAGCCAGCGTTGTAGGAATCTGGCTTGTATGGGTAGGGCTCAGACGTGGTTTCCTGCGCACGCCCCCACGGCTCCCGCTGGCTCTTCGGCGCCCCCCCGAGGTGCCCCGCGCCCGAACGGCCACGCATCGTGCCTTCTCGACTCTTCCGGCTCGGCTCTGTTCGGTTTCGATGTATTCCGCTTCCGATTCGATTTCGATATCGCAATCCGATTTGGATTTCGGTTCTCAAGGGAGGCTTCGCGAGCCTGCCGATTTCCACCGGTGTGACTTTATTGGCTTGGCTGTCGGTCTCCTCCGACCCGATCCATTCCGACCGCCGATCCGATTAATCGATTCGATTCAGGGCTCTGCCAGAGAACGGGGTGGCTGTCGTAGGGTGGAGGATCGACGCGCACCCGCTTCTCCCCCTACCAGGGCCGCCCACGGTGTTCATTCGATTCGAGGGTGCGTGCTGAAGGAGGGGCAGTGTGGAGGCGCAGGGTGCGTTTCTTCTTCTTCTTCTTCTTCCTATTCTGATTATTCTTGTTCTCCTCCCTGGGGTCGCCCGCGATTCGATCGATTCGAGGACGTGTCCTGGAAGGGTCAAGTCGGAGGTGGATGATGTACGTTGCATCTTCGGGGGGCTTTTTCTGTCTTGCAATCAGCGGTACGTTCTTCCATCCAGTGCGGGTTCGGTTCGGATCTGGAGCGGATCCGACGCGGGCTCGACGTGGATTCCTTTCGGAGTCGACGCTCGACATGGATTCGACGTGGATTCGACGCTAATAGCGGCGCGATGGGACAGAGAGGGCCTTCGAAGATGCAACATACGAGAGGATGCGCACCCGCACCTCCCCCACCTGCATACGAACCCAAATGATCCGAAAATTCACCTGGAGAGAACGAATGATGGCGAATGCTTCGCCCACGGCGGCAGTTTGCTTGGGCGCGCCAATGTCCTGGTTTACCGAATTCCCTCTTCAGGGGGCCCTGGTCGATTCGAGGATGCGTGCCGGTGCCCGCGTGTCAGCCTGGGCCGCCCACGGCTCGAGATCGACTCGAGGATGCGACTGCGGGTGTCTGCGTGCGGTGCACTGATCGGTGCGACCCGTGCGAGGGGCCTCGCACGGGCCACTTCTGCCCTCCGCGGGTGCGGCTCGACGCGATGGGACCTGGCGATGCGTGTCAGTGTCTGCTCGCGGCACCAGTTGCTGCGACTCACGAAAAGCTTCCAGTGGCGACTCCTGCCCCTCAGGCCTTTGACGCCATGTCTTCTTGTTCACGACGTGGGCCCAGGAGCTCTTTGCCGCATCCAACCGCCCACTGCCACTGCCGTTTTTGGATGGTCTTGGGGCTCGTAATTGGCTTCCAGAGGCCTTGCCAGGGCTCAGAGCTCATGCCAAAAGTGGCCGCCGTTCTTCACGTCGTGCCTTTCCTTCCGCGCCTAGATGTCCGGGTTGGCCCCCGTCCTTGCTCAGAGCAAGGCTCCGGGCCAGTCTGCCGAGCCGCGCCCAGCCGTGGCCACGAGGGCGCCCGCAGGCAGGCACCAGAAAGAGGCCCGACGCCCAGGACCTTCGATCGCTCGACCCTCGACCGATCCGGGTCACCCCCACATGGCGCGAAGAGAATCGCGCTTCGCGCATTGCGGCTTGGGTTGGAGAGGCTTGCGGCGGCGCGAGGGTACGGAAATGACCGCGCGTCGCGCATCGCGGGGCGCGCTGCTTGAAGACTGGTGACCTATACGAGGGTTGCCCGATTTTGACCACGGCAGGCTCGCGTCTTCGACGCGGCGCCGACATCGAACGGTCTGAGTGATCGGCCTCTGGGACTGGTGGGGGATTGCCCTGGAGGCCGAATCCACACCTCCTCGGAAATCCTGGCAAATTGTTGCCCTTGGGACACCTCTGACAACTCCCGAACGTGCGCGACCGGGCCCGCCGATCTGCCACCGACGGTGTCTTGGTGCAGAGAGCGCCCTTTGGCGCCGCCAGGCGCCCGAGATCTTCGACAGCCCCTACAAGGCCACGGGGTGGGGCGCCGGCCTCCTCCCCGCCGCTGGTGGTTCCGCCCACGTCCTCCACCTCCCTCCCTCCTCCCTCCCCCCCGTCCCACGTGTGCTGTCAGAAGCATGCAGTGAATGAGGCAGGGCAGCGTGGGGTCTAGCAGTATTCGACTCCCAGTAGCAGCTCAAGCTTCGTATGTGGTGCCCCCTTGGGGACACGTTTCCTCAGACCTCCCAGGCCTCGGAGTTCGGAGCTCTAGCTTATTCTAGCCTCCTGTTTGACGGCCCCAGGTGTGGGGTACTCTGACTGTCTCAACGTTGGTGATGCCTTTCAAGCCCGACCGTTCAAAGAAACTCTCGCGCAAAAGGCCATACGCTGGCCTCATGATCGATGCCATGTGGTCCGAGTTTTCCGACCTGCCAAGAGTCAAGGCCCACGTGGCCAAGTCTGTAGACCTTTCCCCAGAGGAGCGCTTCCTAAAATTAGGGGGTGACGAGGCTGATCGCGCAGCCAAGCGGAGGGCCGCTGAGCACCCCCAGCCATCTCGTGCCGAGTCGGTGAGTCGCGATTGGAAGTTCAAGGTTGCTCGCAATGTGGCCCGCCTTGCTGCCAATTTTTTCTCTTCTTGGCCGCGGCTCGACCTTAATGATGCTCCTTTCGTTGCTCCTCTTCGTTCCGCAGCGCCCTTGGCGAAGCCCCAGCGGGGGAGCACGAGTGCAAGTGGTGCACGACTTGTTGGAAGTGCAGGAAGTGTTTCAGATGTCGTAGGCAAACCACCCAGCCCCCCAAAGTGGGGTGCGTGGAAGACATCATTCCTGTTGTTCATTCGGTATCTACTCGTGGCCACTTAGTCTTGCTCTGGAGTGTGCTGGCGGCCAGGCACTCATCATGTGCACGTTGCAAATCAGCACCCTTGGACAAATTTAAGGGGCTCCGTGGAGAGTGCACACGACCTCTCGCCAAAGCGTCGGAGTACTGGTCCAGGGTGAAGCGTGGTTGGCACCCGAAGGAGAATATCCGGGTGGAGTCCATTCCCAGAAGGGAGTGTAAGGCTGGTGGCTGGCAGGGCGTTCGTCAAACAACTCGAGCGAACCGAACCGCAGCTCCTCCTCCTTTTCTTCCTTCTTCTCCTCCTTCTCTTCCTCCGCTTCCTCCCTTCTGCTCAGCGGCGAGGCGAGGCGAGGCACCTGTCCGAGCAATGGACCTCCTACTACCGCAGGTGATCAGGAGTTCAGCCCCATCGGGTCCCTTTCGGGTCCTCCTGCTTCCTCTTTGTGCTCCTCCTCCCCGCCTCCTTCCCCCGCAGCCATCCTCTCGCTCCGCTGGCCCTCCCAGTTGCTCGCGAAAGTGGTGGGAATTGCGCAGTTGGCCGCTGGGAGGGTGAGGTCTCGTTATTCGTCTCGTTGGGTCTCCGCAAGATGTCGACCCTCTGGGCCTCCAAGGTGCTCACGACGGTGGTGACAGTTGCGCAGCTGGCAGCCCCCAGGGAGAGCGAGGGAGGTGAAGCGAGACGCAATCGAAACAGCACAAGAAGAAGCGAGGCGGAAACGAGGAGGCAACGATGAGCAGGAGGGGAGGAACAGGAATGCGGAATGCGAGGAAGGATATGCAATGCTTTCTTCAGTGCGAGTGCCCAACCAGAGGATGATTGGGGAATGGTGAAATAACAAGAGAGAAAGATAGAGAGAGAGAGAGAGAGCGATAGAGAGAGAGAGAGAGAGAGACCGAGAGAGAGAGAGAGAGAGAGAGACAGGAGGGATATAGAGAGAACCATCTATAATAGGAGAGAGAGAGAGAGAGAGAGAGAGAGAGAGAGAGAGAGAGAGAGAGCGAAAGGGGGAAAGAGAGAGAGAGAGATAGAAAGTTCCGTAGCCAGTTTGGCTCAAGGCCATGAGACACCCGACGGCCGCGAGTCCTCGCGGGCGTTTCGAGCGCGAGGGGTCTCGCTCTTCGGGCCAAGGTGCGACAAAGCAACGGGAGCTTGCCTGGCCGCGGCGCGCGGCTGCCCTCTTCCTCCTCGCCTTGTTCGGGGCGCCTTCTCGCAGAGGGCGGCAGCAATGGTGGGCGGCGGCGCTAGGGGCGCGCGTGGCGGCGGCGGTCCAGGGGGCAACGAGCCTGGAGGCGGTGGCGTCGGTGGTCGAGGGCCACGTAGCTTGGGGGCTGGAGCAGCAGTGCGTGCGCCGTCTGGGAAGGTGCCTTGGTGCTGCAACTCTTGCAGCGTGCCCGACGCCAAGGGCTACAGGTTTGTCAATTTCGGCGACCGCATGTCCTGCAAGAGGTGCAACTGCCCGAAGTCCTCGCACTTCGGAAGCTCGCCCAAGGAGAGCGCGCCCTCCTTCAAGGCGGCGGGGAGCCTCAAGCTGGCCAAGGCGCTGGAGGAGATCAAGCAACTCAAGGCGGCGGCGGGCGCGCGCGGCGCGCCAGCTGCAGGGGGCCCCCCGCCCTGGCAGGAGGGGGCCCCAGGGTCCCAGCAGCGCCAGCGCTTTGAGCTCTTCAACAAGCAGCTGGTGGACGCGGCGCTTGGCTGACATGGAGGACGAGGACGACGAGGCGCTCCGCTCGGCTGCCATCGCCAAGAAGGCCGGGCTCGAAGCGGAGGCGGCGCAGCTGCGCCAGGTGCTCTTCCTCGCGAAGCCGAAGGGCGTGCAGCTCAAGAGCCTTGCGGACCAGATCAAGAAGCTGGAGAAGCAGCAGGAGAAGGGCCGCGGCGACCTCGCGGCGGTGGAGCTGCAGCAGCAGGAGCTCGCGGCCAAGGCGACGGAGCTGCGCGCGGCCGACGTCGAGCGGGAGGCGAAGCTGGTCGAGCTCAAGGCGGAGCAGGCCCGCATGGTGGGCAGGGTCGCGGCCCCATCCTGCTGAGCCTGCTGCTGGCTTGGATGGCGTCGTGGAGGTGGACGGCTACAAGTTCACGGCGGACTTCTCGGGCAAGGTCCTGGGTCGCTTCGGCGTGGAGGGTGAGTTGCACGACGCGCTACGGGCCCAGACGACCCAGTATGGGCAGCAGTACAGAGCCGCCAAGGAGGCGGAGGCCGCTGCTGCGCGGGCTGCAGCGGCCGAGCAGCGCGCTGCTGTCGCTGGGCCGGGGGCGCCTGCAGATGCCCCCGCAGCAGAGCCGCCTGGCAGCGGCCGCGCCCCGCTCCCAGGTGAAGAGGGGTTCCTGCAGGCGAGGGCGCCATGGACGATTAGGAGCTCGACGTGGAGGCCCAGCTCAAGTTCTGCCAAGCCTTCGGGGCAGCCCCGTCGGCTGGAGAGGGCGGTGCTCGCCCTGCTGATGATGTGGTGCGTGACGCCTTCAAGCGGGTCTGCGCTGAGCACGGCATGTCGCCGCCCATGGGCGGGCGCGCGCTGCGGCCTGAGGGCACGGTCGTCGCCATGACGGACGACAACTTCGACTGGGAGGCCTGCTGCAGCATGCTGTGCGAGGCCGACGAGCAGGCGGCCCAGGAGCTGGGCGGCTTTGACTTCTGGGGTGCTGATCGCCAGGGCCAGGAAGGCCAAGGGCGGGCAGCAGAGGCGCCCCCTGCTGGGAGCGACAGGTGGCCCTCAAGGTCTGGGGGCGCCAGTGAGTGCCAGGGGGGCCTCGCGAACCACTCCTGGGGTGAGCCGCCCTGCGGCTGGCGTCTGTGGCAACGCTGCCCCCCCCAGGCGCCCGGCCAGGGAGGTCAGGCGGCGCAGTCCCCTGCTCCTGGCTGGATGGCTTCCTGCGAGGCGGCGGAGGCTGCTGGGGCGCCCGGTGGCGCGGCGCTGGCGCGGGCGCGGGCTGGGGCGCTGCTGGCGAGCGGCGCTGGTGCGGGGCTGGGCTGCGGTGAGGGCGGGGGGCTGCAGACCCCCGCTGGGCTGCGGGGGGTGTTCGGCCTTCAAGGGCACGGCCCCAGGATGTCAGAATGGGTTGACCAGGTGAGGGCTCCTGACTGGCAACCTCAGGTGTCGGCCCCAGGGCGCGGCCTGCATGATGCTCCAGGAGGCGGGTTCTCAGGGGATGCGGACCGCCAGACCCTTCCCGGGCTGATGGGGGTGTTCGGCCATCAAGGGCGCGGCCCCAGGATGTCAGATCTGGTTGGCCAGGAGGGCCCCCCCGATTGGCAGCCAAGGGTGTCGGCCTCAGGGCGCGGCCCAGGGGGGGGGGGGTGCGGAGGGATTCAGCCCCTCGACGTCACAGCCTCTCCCCCGCAAGGACTCCGAGTTCGTTGCGCAGCAGAACATCGGGGACCAGGAGTTCGGCGAGTTCGGGGCCCCTGAATGCCAGGAAGCCTGCGGCCTCCGAGACCCTGCCTCGGGCGGTGATGCGGCCTGTCTTGCGCGCCCCGCACGGAGCTCGAGCCCCCCGCTCGCTCCGCCCCCTCAGCCGCGGGAAGGTGCCGCCCTCCCGCGGGTCCCCGGCGCGACTGCGTCGGCCAGTGCAGCGCACTTGGAGCGCTTGCTCGCTGGCAAGCCCGAGCCGATGGCGAAAGCAGGGTGCTGCCTGGCCACAGTGAATGCTTCGTCGTGGGCTGACGGCAATTCGACGCTGGCCATCGCGGTTCAGGAACACCACCGTCTGGCCAAGGACCTGGCGACGCAGCAGCGGGCGTCTAATGGCGCGGGCTGGCGTGGAGTATGGGGCGCGGCCAATCCGTCTTCGACGTCGACCTCTGGTTCCGTCGGTGGCGCGTCGGTGCTGGCTCCCGCCGTAGTCTCCGTCACGGCGCCCCCTGGGCGTGACCCCCCCGTGTTGGTGCCAGGGCGCCTGGTGGCGGGGCATGTGCGGGCTGGCCCTGCTGGCGGCGTGGTGGCCCTCAGCATCTACCTGCGCGTCGGCGAAGGGCTTTCGGGCAGCAGCCTGGGTATCATCTGGCAGCTGTTGCAGTGCCTAGGGCGGCTCGAAGCCGAGGGCCACCACTGGGCGGTCATGGGGGGCTGGGACATGGAGGCGGACGTGCTCGATTTTGCTGGGTCGGCAAGCTGTGGGCCCAGGTCCGGCTGGCGAGCGGCCAGTCGTGCAGGCAGGGCGGCGGGTCCAACATCGACTACTTCGTGGTGTCCAAGAGCCTCATTCCCTTCACAGGGGAGGCTCCCATCCTGGACGTCGGCACCCACACGTGGCCGCACTGGCCCGTCCGCCTGCCGCTGAGCCAGGTGCGCGCGCAGGCCGTGCAGCAGGTTATCGACGAGCCCAAGCCGATTCCCAGGGAGGCGGCTAAGCCTGGCTGCGCCCGCCCGCCCTGGCGCTGGGGCGCGTTCGCGAGGTGCGTGAACGCCGTCGCGGACCAGCAGGGCCTCCAAATCGTTTGGGACATGCTGCTGGAGGGCATCGAGACGGAGATCCTCAACAGGCGCGGTCTAGTCGGCGACGCTCGGCGCACCTTCGCGGGCCGCGGCGCGAAGGGGGATGCGAGCATGAAGGTGGCACAGGCCCATTGACACCTTCCTCGCAAGCGGAAGCGGCGAGGGCCCGAGGCCCACGCCTGGGCGGCGCTGGCAGGTTGGGCGTCGGAGCTCCTCAAGAAGCAGGCCTACCTGGCGAAGCTGTTCGGCGCTCTGAAGGATCACCCTGTCGAGGAGGGGGCCGAGCCCGCGGCGGCACGTGCCAAGTTCATGTGCGCGATTGCAAAGGCCCTGGTGCACCTTCAGCACTTCCTGGAGTCCCTGCGCGGCCATGGGAACTAGCATCACCTCCCGAGTTGGACGCGCGAGCCCTTCCTGGACGATGCGGACTTCGGCATCGAGCTGCGGGCGCAGGACCTCAGGCGGGTGTTGCAGGCGGCGGAGCAACGGCAGCGCAAGCAGGCCAAGGAAGACGAGGCCCGCTGGAAGGTCTGGGTCGACGAGGCTTACCTGGGAGGAGCAGGCGCCGCCCACGCCGCCTCCAAGGCTCCCCTGCTTCAGGAAGTGCTCCCAGCTCACCCGTCGGAAGGGGCGCAGGCGCGAGTGGCCAGGGAGTTGCAGCCATGGGTGGGCATCTGGAACTATCACGGCCTGACCCGCATGGGGTTGCCCCCCCGATGCTCCCACGTGGGACGCCCTGCCGCCGCTGTATGCAGTGCGGGGCGTGGTCCGCTCCTTCCCGTGGCGCACGGGCGTGGGCCAATCAGGCATACCTCCGAGGGCGCTGGAGGACCTGTCCGACGACGCGCTCCTGGCCATGATCGCGGTCTTCCACAAGTGCGAGGAGCTGCTGGTATGGCTGGGCAGCCGCCTCATCAACACCATGGTGCGGCTCCCCAAGCCCGACGGCGGCTGTGGGCTCATCGGGCTCATGCCGACGCTGGTGCGCGTGTGGAGTCGGGCCCGCAGGCCTGTGACGAAGGCGTGGGGGCTGGGCAACCCCTGGGAGCTGGTCTGGGGCACGGGGCCAGGCAGAGCCAGCTCGGACTCGGCGTGCGAGCTCAACTTGGCCAAGGAGCAGGCGAAGCTCGGCGGCTGGGACTCTGCCCAGGCCGCCCTGCCCAGGCCGCCCTGGACCTCTGGAAGGCCTACGAGATGGTGGCGCCCGAGGCCCAACTGGCGGAGGCGCGGGCGCTGGGTTTCCCCATGCGGCTGACCTGGATGCTCCTCAGCACCTACTGCCAGCCGCGCTTCCTGGCCGCCTTCGGAACGATGTCGGACCCGTTCGTGGCTTGGCAGGGCAGCATCGCGGGGTGTGGGCACGCCAACTCGCTGCTGATGGTGCTCACCCTGCGGGCCCTGCGCAAGGCGCATGCCCTGGCGCCATCGGTCACCCCGCGGGGCCTGGTGGACGACGCCACCCTGGACTGGGGCGGGCCCAAGGAGGCGGACGCCGACAGCCTGGCGACAGCGCTGAGCAGCTTCCCGGCCGACATGGTGGAGCTCAAGTTGGTCATGCAGCCGGAGAAGTCGGGCTTCCTGGCGTCCTCCACGCGGAGGGCGAAGCTGCTGGCCCCCCACATGCTGCGGAGAGGGCTCACCGAGAAGTATTGGGTGCGCAACCTGGGCCACAGGCTGCACGGGCGGAAGGTCCTCCGCGCTCAGGAGAAACGCCGCCTGCAGGCCCTGGCTGAAAGGCGAGGGCGCATGGCCATGCTCAGGCGGGCGGCTGGGAGGCGCGCTGCCGCCCTGGTTGCCACAGGGCTCTCGCCGTCGGCGGGACATGGCGCAGGGGTCTCGGGGCTAGCTGACAAGCCTGTGGCCTAGCTGCGTACGCTGGCGGCGGCGGCCGCTGGGGCCAAGGCGGGCTGCGGCACGGCGGCCGTCATGGTGCTGCAGAGGCGGGTGGATTTCGACCCGATCTACGCCGCCACGGTCCCGCTGGTTTGCAGGCTGGCCAGTCGCATCTGGGAGGGCCGCGGCTCTTTGGCTGGGCTGACGGCAACCTGGCAGGTGCTGGCTGCGGATGTGCGAGCGGGCTCCCTGTCGTCGGTTTCGGTGCAGGGGCCGCTTGGGGCTACCTGGCTCTCGATCGCGCGCGTCGGCTGGGGCGTGGCTGCCGTCTGGGCCCTGCGGGCCGACCAGGGGAGGTCATCTCCTTCTGAGGGTGGCCCCCAGGGACGTCAAGGACGAGCTCGTGGAGGGCATCCAGCGCTGGCAGTGCAGGAGGCTGGTCGTCCACTTGCCCGAGAGCGGCGGCGAGGTGCTCTGGCCGCGGGCCGTGCGGGCTATTGCCAGGCGGTCTCGGCCCGCTGCTGAGCTGGGGGCCATCCAGGCCCTGTGGGCAGGCGGCCACTTCACCATGGTCTGGCGATATGCCCACGGCTTCGCCGCCACGGAGCTGTTTCAGGCTTGCGGCCAGCCCAAGGACACCCTGATGCACAGGTGGTGCGCCTGCCCTGAGGTCATGCGGCCACGGGGCGAGAGCTGGAGCAGGAGGGGCCCTTTCGCAAGCCGATCGCGGCCATGCACAAGCAGATGGCGGAGGCAGAGCAGAAGTGGACCATCGGGGGCAGCGAGCTGCCGTTGGCCTATGGCCTGCCGCTGCTGCCTGCCATGCCGCCTCCTGCGCCTGCTGCGAGCGTCGCCTTCGAGTGGGGGGCCGCGCAGGTGGCCTGGCCTGCGGTCGTCTACACTGATGGGTCAGGCCACGCCTCGCAAGTGCCTGAGCCATGGCGCAGGCGGCTAGCGCGAGGCACGCCAGCATATGGCGGCAGCTGCGCGCAGCTGCGGAGGCGCGAGGCAGCCCGCCCCCGCGCTTCAGATGGGCGCCTGCCCACCGCACCCTGGGGCAGGCGCTGGAGGAGGGCATCAGGCCCATGGACTGGCTTGGGAACTGCTGGGCCGACTTCTTCGCCAACTTGGGGGCCGCCGAAACGAGGCTGCCCAACGGCGCGGTGGAGGCGCTCGAGGCGGAGTTGCAGCGGGCGCTGGACACCGCCACGTACTTGGGCTGGGCGGCGGCGCGCGTCTGCCAGCTGGATCTCTGGCGGCCGCTCGGGGACGACGGGAAGCTCCAGCGCCGGGCAGAGCTCGAGTGCCCCGCCCCTCCCAAGCCCAGCCTCACGCGGCACGAGTACCAGGCGATCAGCGCCAGAGGGGTCCAGTGCCTCCACTGCGGGCGGGAGGCGCACACCGAGGAGGCACGCTCACTGCTGGACTGCCGCCCGTGCCAGCCGTCGGCGTTGGGGCGGCTGCGCGCGGCTCGCAGCCGCGAGGTTGGCGGGGCGCAGCTGCTCGCCAGCTCGGCCATGGTGGGCGCGGGGCTCCAGGCAGCGGCTTTGTTCGAAGCAGAGCAGGTTGGCCACGGCAGTGCGGCGCCTGAGGTAGGCCAGGCCTTCGGCCCCACGGAGGGCGGCGCGACGGGCAACGAGTTCGAGCGCAAGGTGCAGTACCTCCTGGCGGCGGCGAAGGGCGACTCGGCAGGCGTTGCAGGCCTGGGCCCGACGGCGGGCAGCCATGGGCAGGAGGCGGCGGCGGCAGCTGCGGCGCACGCTCGGCCAGGCGAGACGGGTCGGCCACCGCCGGAGGCTTCCGAGGAGCGGCGGGGGAGGGGTAAGACGGGGCGGCCACCGTCGGAGACCCTGGGGCAGCCTGCCCTCAGCGTGCCAGATCCCGACCGCCCCAACCACCACGGCCAGCAGCTGCCGCCGCCAGGGCCGTTGCCGAGGCCACCTGCCAACCCTGGCGGGCCAGCGCCTGCCGCGGGCAACGACCTGCTGGCCATCGAGACCTGGGAGCGAGCGGGCCCTCTGGAGGCCACGCTGTGCACGCTGGCCAGCTCGTGGATCACGGACCTGCTGGACCAGAGCCTTGCCCACGCCTCGTGGATGGAGGAGTGCGTGGACTACGTCTACAGGCTGCTGGGGGAGGATGCGTTTCGAGGCTTCTTCGCGTACGCGACGACCCCCGAGTCGCGTAACGCGGAGCGGCTCAGGAAGGCCAGGGAGTTCTGCGAGCGCGGGTGGCGGGACGGGGGCCCCTACCGCGAGGCGCGCGTCGGCGAGGCCCTCCAGCTGGAAGGGGAGCCCAGGGATGAACGTGTGCAGCGCCTGCGGGGCTACCACTGGGCGGCGCGTGCCTACCTCGGCGACCGCGGCAATGCTCGTCACGCTGGAGGGAGGCAAGGTGACTTGTACGGCCACTGGTGGCCGCCTGAGGCCCTGCCTGGTCCCAGCGGCCTGCCCTCGGCCAACGGCGGCGACCACGGCGCCGAGGGCGACCATTGGGAGGACTTCGACGACGCCCACATGGAGGCGATCAGGGGCCTGACGGCCCAGGACGTGCAGGCGGCCAGGCAGCGCGTGGCCGAGCGGGAGAGGGGCCGCTCTCGCCCCCCGCCGAGCGGCGGCTCCCAGCAGCCGCCCGTGCCCGAGGGCAGCCCAGAGGGGTCGGGGCCCCCTCGCTGCCCTGGCCAGGCGGCGACGACGAATGTCCCCGGCGCCCAGCGGGCCCGAGGCCTGACCCCGCTCCGCGGCGCCGCAGCAGCGCGGGCCAGGCTGCCAACCGTTCGCGCTCGCCGCCAGGCCGAGCGGGCCAGGAGGCTGGAGGTGCGGGCCCCAGCGCGCCTGGCAGCCCAGCGGAAGCTGATCGACGCCGCCGACAGCCCTGCGAAGCTAGCCTCCCGCAAAGGGGGCGACGGCGCCGACGGCGACGGCGCCGACAGTTCGGACAACAATGCGACGGGTTTCGAGGATTTGCGCCGCACGCTGCAGGGCTTTGCTGGATGCTGGGTGTTCGACCTGCGCGGTCCTGGCGGCGCGGAGGCAGCCTGGCTGGCATGGGCTGCGCAGTATGCACTGGAGTGGCTGGCCCGCCCTGGCAGCGCCGCCGAGCGCGAGGAGGCCATCCAGCGGGCTGGGTCCTTTGGGCTGCGGGCCCTCGTGCGCGAGTTGGTCCGCCAGGCCTGGGCCATGAAGGCGTCGGTGCGCAGGGCGGCGGTCGGGCACCTGCTGGGCCTCTCGACGCTGGAGGAGTGGATGCACGTGGCGGCCTTGCAGTGGGCCACAGTTGACGAGATCATGTGCACCATCAGGGACATCGTCGGCGAGGCGGCGGCCAATCTCCCTGCCCCACCTGGCTTCGCGGGGCCCATCCCTGGCCTTGGCCCTGTGGGCGTGCGGGAGCCGCCCAGGAGCGCTGGGCTTCCGCGGCCCGAAGGCCTCTCGGTGCTGGGCGGCTACTTGGCAGCGCGGCAGCCGTGGCGCAACCCGCAGCTCCCGTTGCTGCAGGAGTAGGGCCTCGACGCCAGCGACGACGACGACGTTGCTCCGCACCCTGATGCAGCCCGATCAGGCCTGCCCCCGCCGCCGCTGGCGGCCGCTGCCTGGCCTGGCGGACAGCCGCCAGGGCGGGGGGGTGGCAACCGCAGGCGCTGGCAGGTCGAGGCGGCGTCGCAGGGCTCAGACTCCAGCGAGGGCCCCAGCCTGGGCGGCGACCCCGCCGTGGAGGCGGCCATCAATGGTATGCCGCCGTGGCACCTGATGGACGCGGGGGACGCGGGCGGCGACAGTGTGGCCGCTGGCCCAGCGCCCTGGGAGCCAGACGGCGCGGCGGGCGACGCGGACGGGAGTGCGGCGGAGGGGCGCGGGCCTGGCGGCCTCCCGTTCGCAGCAGCCTGCGCTCTGGCGGCGGCGGCGGCGGCAGCGCGGCCTGGTCTGGCCAGCAGCGGCGCTGAGGCAGCGGCGGGACAGGCGCCAGCGAGGTCCAGGAACCCGCAGCGTGGGGCCCCAGGCAGGCTGCCGCGGGGCGAGGAGGCCAAGCCACATGCGCAGTTGGGCCACGCCTGGCGCACCGCTGGAGGCCATGCGTTCTGCTGCAGGTGCGGCGCCTTCGCCAGGATCGAAGGTGCGGACCGCGCCAAGGGCCTCAAGGCTGGCTGCACTGGCCGACTGCCGCCTGCCTGGACCTCAGGCCACGGCGGGCCAGAAGAAGAAACGGCAGTACTTGACGAGGCTGCTCGGCGGCAAGGACCCCTCCCTACACGGGCAAGCCGCTACCGTGATGGTGCTGAGGCTGGTGCGTTGCCGCCCGCTGGCAGCCCTGCTGGCTGGCGGCCGCGCCGCCGTGCGGCCCCTGGGCGCCGCTGCCCACGCTGCGCGGGCCCCGCTTGCTGGCTGCGCGGGCCCCCGTCGGCCGCGCGCCCCGCGCGCGGCCGCCTCCCAGGCGCGGCTCGCGGACTCGCTGCTGGCTGCGGCCTGGGGCCTTCTCGGCTGCGCGCCCGCGCGCGGCCGCCTGCGGCCTGCTGGGGCGGGCCGCCCTGGTGCTCGGGCACGGCGCGTGAGGCGCCACGCCCCTGCGTGGTCGGGCTGCGCGCGCCCGCCGCGCTCGACGCGGCGTGCTCGCGCCGATGGCGTGCGAGAGAGAGAGAGAGAGAGGGAATCAAACAAAGAGAAAGAGAAAGAGAGAGATAGAGGCATATTGAGGACATATAGAGAGAGAGAGAGAGAGAGAGAGAGAGAGAGAGAGAGAGAGAGAGAGAAAGAGAGAGAGAGAGAGAGAGAAACGGGACGGGAAGGAGGAGGAGGAGGAGGAGGAGGAGGAGCAATACGTGCCCCGTACGAAATGAGGACCCAATGAACGGAAGGTTTGGGGAAACAGGCGAAGCGGTGTGGGAACGGTCGCCACCGCATGCCAGTATTATATGGTGCTGTGACCAATGCGCACACCATGTAGTGCGGACGCACACATACACCTCATGATGGAACAAAACTCAAATGTGCAACATCAACAGCTGCGGTTTCCCCAAATCACGCCACGAAGCATTTCCTCAAAACGGCCGTAGTCGTGCGAGGAGGCGATGGAGAGACTCGGGAGCACGCAAATCATCATGCACCCCTCGAGGGTCGTCCAAGACACGACATGTGCTGTGCAGCAGGCGCTCTCCCTCGCGCCAGACTCCTCGGATGCTGCGGCTGGCCCGTTCCCGCGCGAGCAGGGCCGCGGCGGCCGCAGTGGCCAGAGGAGGCTGAGCATCGCAGACAGAGGCAAGAGGTCCAGCACTCGACTGGCCATCGCTCGGACGTCCATTCCCTGTGTTTTTTTCGGTTTCGTGCGTGGCTTGTTCGCAGGATGATCCAGGATGCTTCTTAATAGTAATCCCCGCCGAGAAAAAGTGCACACGTCCGAGCGATACCAAGTCGAGCCAACGGCCACGGGAGCAGGGAAGACAGGCGTGGACCACGCCCCGGCATCCAGGGCCAGCTCCCGCCCCAAACGGCGGCTGCCAGCGGGGGCCCGTGGACCACAGCGGCGAGGGGACGAGGCCGGTCCGACGGCCGAGGCCGAGGCTCGCAGTGGCGCCTGGACCACATGGAGCCGAGACTGCCGGGGGGGGGCGCTCCTCTTGAGGGGCACGGCGCGGCGCGCGGCCTGGAGCGCTCTCCCCCGAGCGCTCCCCTGTCCGCTCCGTTGCCTCGCCGTCGTCGGTCGCCCCATGGGGCCGCGCTCCCCCCATGCCGCCTAGCGCCTCCCCCTCGTCGTCGCTCTCCTCGCTTGGAAGGGGGCCCATGGGGCGGGGCGCCGACCCCTGCAGGGTGCAGAGGGCGCCTGCCCGACAGGCCCTCGCTGCCCGCTCCTCCGGCCCTCCGGGTCGTGCCCGCCGCCCCCTCTCGGGGGCCGCTCGCCTTCGCAGGGCGGGCCAGCAGCAGCCCCTTCCCTGCCTCTCCCGGTCGACGGAACGTCACATCGGGAAGCTGCGGTCGGCGCTTCTTTCGGTCATGTTTCTGAGCCCGGACGGGCCTCGCAGGTTTGTTGTCATCGCTCTTGCCCAATTATGCGGACATCGCCGACGTCGAGAATTTAGCCCCGCGCGTGCCACTCCGCAGGAGCATGAGAGGTCGGGCGGGGCCGACTTCCTGGCCTCTTTCTGGCCTCCCCTTCCCGCTTTCTCCTCGTCTCTCTCCGTTTCCTCTCTCGTCCCCGGCCTTTTCCCGCGCGAACTAGTCCCCTTCTCAACGTCCTCCTCCCCCCTTCCCCTTCTGCTGCTGCTCCCCTCCCTCCCTTCCTCCTCCCACTCCCCCTCGTCAGGCATCCCTCCTCGCTTTCCCCTCCTCTTCCTACTTCTCCTTCCTCCCCCCTCCTCTTCCGCCCTCCTCACCGCTGTTTCTTCGTCGTCGTCGTCGCCGTCGTCCTCTTCCTCCTCGCGCTCTCCCTACGGTCGTCTCCTGCTCCTCGCGCGGCATCTTCCCTTCTCCTCAGCCTCCCCCCTCTCTCCGGCCAGGGCATGCAGGGCATGTCGGGTGGCGTTATCGGTATGTTGGAGGTAATCGAGGCGGATTTCGCGCGCTTGGAGGCGGACACTGCGGCGTCCGAGGAGGCCTCTCAGAAGGCGCGCGGCTTGTCGTCGTCGCTGTCTTCGTCATCGTCGTCGTCATTAGGAGGGATGAGGGAAAAGGAGGGAGGAGGAGGGAGGAGGAGGAGGAGGAGGAAGAGGAGGAGGAGGAGGAGGAGGAGGCATGGAGCGGGGAGGAGGCATGGAGCGGGGAGGAGGGAGGAGGATGTGGAAGAGGAGGAGGAGGAGGAGGAGGAGGAGGACGAGGAGGACGAGGAGAAGGAGTAGAAAGAGAAGGATAAGGAGGAGGAGGAGGAGGAGGAGGAGGCGGAGAAGGAGGAGGGAGGAGAAGGAAGAGGAAGAGGAAGAGGAGGCGGAGGAGGGAGGGGAGGAGACCGATGATGTTGTTGATTCCTGATTTCTGAAATTCAATGGTGGTTGACCCCCCTGAGGTAACATATTTGCTTTTGCATTTGAAGTGCTCCTCTTGGGGCTCGACCCCGGTTTTTTACAAGGGAACGTCTTGGGTCCCCAATCTGGGCTCTTGGCCCCCGACCTACAACAACAACGGCTCTCGCCTGATACATCCTCAGAACTTACTCGCGTTCTCGCTCAGGACTTCCTTGTAGTTTACCCAAGGATCGCGCTCTCGCGTGGGCCTTCCTCGCAATTCATTCAGGTGCTGCGCCCTCGACGCTCAGGAATCACGCTCTCGCGTTGCACTTTCTGTCGATTTACCTGGGCATCTCGCTATCGCTACGGCCTTCCCCCGTGGTTCCTGCAGGACTGGCGTTTCGGCAGCCCGCTCGCTCGACCCGGCCGTCTGGGCCCGCCCGCCCGACCCACACGTGAGGGTCCGCCCGCCGACTTGCTTTTGTTGTTGTCTCGCTCATCGTCCTGTTTCAGGTCGGGTATAGCCAGAACCCCAGGTGAGGGGACCCGGGTAGTAGTAGGGCCCCGCCCCTGAATTGGTTAGAACCACTAAACCAGGTCTGCCGTAGCTGGTGTTTTTCTCGGGTGACGGCACTTCTGGTTAGTGGAACGGGGCGGGGGGCTGTCCCCCTGTACACATCACTAAACCAGGTCCCACTAAACCCAGTTCTGCCAACGCCCGATTAGGGTCTGCGCCAACTACACGTGGCAGGTCAGGAAGGTATGCCGCCAAATGGGGACTGGCCGAAGAGGAAGAGGGCGGTTATCGATGGTCTGGGATGCACGTGCTGATTGACACGCGAGCAGATACGAGCGATCAGTCTTCAGCTTGCTGCTGTTGCTGATGATGATGCTGGTGATGACGATGATGCTGGCGACGACGATGATGATGCAACGTGCGATGATTATGACAACGACGAAGATGGTGATGATGCAGATGATGATGATGATGATGATGATGATGATGATGATGATGATGAGGATGATGAGGATGATGATGATGATGATGATGATTATGATGATGATGATGATGGTTATGACGACGATGATACTGCTGATCATCATGATGATGAGGATGATGATGATGCTGCTGATGATGATGATACTGATGATGGTGATGATGACGGTAGAACCCACGATGATGACCACGACGATGATGGAGATGATGATTGTTCAAGGTGATGATGACGGTGCTGCTGCTGATGTTGACGATGAGGACGGTGTCGACGACGGCGAAGCCAACGACACTGATGTTGATGTCGATGTTGATGATGATGCTGATGACGATAATGAGGGTGATGATACGGTTGATGATGATTGTGGTGGTGATGGTGATGGTATTGCTGATGGTGATGGTGGCTGATGATGTAGCTGTTCGTGACGATGATGTCGATAACGATGCTGTTGCTGCTGATGATTATGCTGCTGGTGATCATGATAATGGAGGAGCAGCTGCCTCCGCTCCACCTCCTGCTCCGATCCACCTTCAGAGTATCCGGAACCCGTCCAGAAACTCCTAGAACCCCCTCCAGGACCTCAGGGAAGCGCCCGCCACACCTCACGAATCGATGGGAAAATTTCAGGGAATGCCGAAGCCCTTCGCCAACCGCCGACCGCCAGGTCACCAGCACGGGCGCAGGATGATCAAGCTTCGGGGTGAGGAGGAGGATGATGAGGAAGAGGATGAGGAGGAGGAAAGGCGGGAGTAGAAGGAGGAGGAAGCGAAGGAGGAGGAGCAGCAGGAGGAGGAAGAGGAGGATCCGTAGCCTGGCTCAAGCCATTGCTTGGGGCATTCGCCTTCCTCGGGGTTGGGGCTCGAACTCTCCCAGGCACAGGGCCTGCCTGCACGCACCGCAATCCTGAGCCGCCCAGGCTCGCCAGCGGGAGGGTTTTCTCCGCCATCCGCCTGTTCCTTCAGAAGCCATGGCGCAGAACGGAGGCTGGTCCAAGGGAAGCGGATGAGGCAAGTGGGCAGGCAAGGGCAGCAGCAGCACGACCTACTCTGGGTGGTACGAAGGCAGCGAGCCCAGCGCCAACTGGAAGTGCATGTGTGGCTGCGGAAAGAATCGTGCGGATTGGAGTTGGCGCAACCACTGTGGAGTACCGAGGTCGGCTGGAGAGATGCAGCCGTAGCGTGACCAGAGCGACTATTCAGAATACCAGAATGTGTTTCTTCCTCCTGGCTTTCATGTTCCTCGTGCTGTGGGGGTTCGGCCTGGTGTTGGCGGGTGCGGCGGCCCGGACCTCAGATCCCTCACGGACGCAGCGCTGCAGAACATGGAAGCGCTGGGACACAAGTCCAACACTCTCCAGCTCAAAGCCGCATGCCAGAACGAACGGAAGCGTAGAGCCCAGCCTTGCAGCACGGGGCATGGCGCAGTTGGTCAGGCTCACGCCAAGTTTGAGATTGACGAGAAGCGATTGCTGGAGGCCGCCGAGAAGCTGGAGTTCCACACCAAGCAGCAGAGCGATCAGCAGGCGGTGGTCACAGAGTTGATGGAGATGGAGCCCGCGAAGGCTGAGTACCATCACGCGGTGGCGCACCTGCACGCTCAGACCCGCGGCCCAGTGGCGGCCAAGGATAAACAAGTGGCGAAGCTCTCCATCATCGATATCTTGGACGGCAGCGTGCAGGACATTCTCGTGGAGGACGACGACCGCTTCGGCCTTGTCCTTGTCAAGGTTCAGGAGCTGGGCGCGGGGGGCAAGGCCATGCTCGAGGAGCGCAAGCGCCTACTTGCGGAGGGCCTCAAAGCGGTCACTGCCAACCTGTTGAGCTCGGTGCGTGAGAAGGCTGAGTCCCTGGTCCAGGCTCACAAGGAGCACTCAGAGCAGCTGTCCAAGAAGCGCAAGGGCGGCAATGGTGGCGTGGCTGACGGTGGCGCGCGCGGCTCAGCAGGTGCTGGAGGCGCCGTGGCCAGCGCCGAGAAGCCAGCGCCTGCGCCTGCGACCCCGGCTGCGGCAGCATCGACGTCCCCGCCCGAGGCAGGGTCGGACCCACTCGCCCGAGCACGTGCAGCCCTTCGCGCCAGCAGCTTGGATCAGCCTGACCTTTAGCCGATCCTCTCGCCTGGCAGCCTGCGACGCCCCCCCCCCCCCCCTCTCGCGCCTCCGGCCCCTCCCCCGTCGGCCCCTGCCGAGTTGCAGGCTGTGAAGCGTAGGAAGGAGTTTGTCGTTGAGACGGCCAGTTCGTCAGGATGGGGCATCTTTGTTTTTTTGTTAGCTGTGGGGTCTCGCGCTGACGCGGTGCTCGCGCAGGAGATCGGCGGGGCCCCCATTCCAGATTCAAGAGGCAGAATCTAGAATTGCGCCCCTCGGCTGGCAGGCCAACCTCAGGGTCTCAGCGGTGGCCCGGGAGGGAGGACTGTCGCGTGGGGTCGGTGTTGGACGTCGTCAGTCCCCGGGGATGTGCCTCCCCTGGGTCCAAGCGCCCACGTTTGCAAATTTCCCGGCGTATCCGCATTGTTGGGTCAGTGCGCATGTTCCCGGGGGCTTCCCAGCTATTTCAATGTGCCTTCCAGCGGGGGGCGGGCCCCTCAGGCTCGATGGGGTCTCACCTTCTAGCCGGATTTGGGGGGCTGCTTCGCGGCTGGAGATTGCCAGATGTCATTGGGGGGATTTCGCAGGCTATAAAAAAGCGCGGTCGGGGTCCCCGTCTCAGAGCAACGATGCGTGCCCCATCCCTACCCACGTGTAGATTTGGAGAAGTCTGGGAAGTTTTGGATTCCCCCCACGCCCCCCCTGGGCTCGCCAGCTTGGTCAAGATGGCCCGTCGCAGCCGAGTCTCGATGCAGCAGCGCTGTGCTGCCCAGCTGGTCATGCGACGCAAGGCCGCCCAGCCTGCAGCTCCCGCGACGATCAGCCTGGAGAGTTTCCCCCGCGACCGCGCTGAGCTACCGCTCGGCCCACCGGTTGCGCCCGTTGAGCGGGGGGGGGATGGGGGGGGTGGGGCCTTGCTGAGAGGCTAGAGCACGCGGCGGATCCATAGCATCTGCAGTATTGCTGTGGGAGTTCTTGGGGGCGCACGAGGACGAAATGCGCGGGGTCTTCCGTCTCGACCAGGAGCTCGGGGGCGAATGCAGGGGGAGGTCCCGGGTTTTCAAATCCAACGTGCGCCGGAGATGCAAACCACTGGGGGCCATGCCCCGTGGGTTGTGTTTTGGCTGGAGGGTGGCGTTACCTCCGCATATGCCTCATGGGGCAGTCTTACGCCAGCAGCGGGGGGGGGGGGTCTTTGCTGGGGCGCGATGCGCGGCGCGTCGGTGACAAGATTGCCCGAGGCCCCCCTGCGCGGTGGAGCGACGTAACGCGGTCAAGCTGGAGCCCGTCACGGGGTGAGCCCCAGCGGGCCTCCGCGCGGGATCTTCGCCGCTGGGCGATCGCCGCTGGCGCCGCTGCCGACGAGCTCGAGTGATCCAGGGTTTATTCGCGACAGACGGCCTGGAGGAGCAGGGTCAAAGAAGCGTTGTTTTGTTAGGTGGCTCGCCGATGCGCCGAGGCCCCCTCGGGGCGGGTTCCTTCGAGTCTCTTGGTTCCTGGCCGGGCCACCCCAGGTCCTGCTCGAGTTTTATCCGATCTCACCTCGGACTGGGAAGGCGCTTGGAAACCCCGGGGGTGGGGGTGGGGGGGGCGCCGCGTGAAGACCCTCTCCGAGAGCTCAATGATCACGCGGGCTCGCTCAGCATGGGCGAGCGGGAGAGTTTCCTCGACGGGCAGTTAGCCCCGGGTGCCTTCAGAGCCCGCTGGGAGTCTAAGCGCGCGGCTGGGCAGCGACGACGTCGACCCTGGGGGCATGGCGGTTGTCAGTGACGAGTGCTTACTTGCTTTGGCTGGCCTCTGGATCTCTTTTCTGACGTTTGGTCATGTACCTGTTATGATGAGGGTTGTCCTGTCTGCTATGATCGAGAAGCCAGATGGAGGTCATCGACCCATTGGTTTGCTTTCCGCTTTCGTTCGCGTCATGTCTCGAATGCTCAGAAGGGGTGGGCCTTGGGAAAGCGCGCGCCGTCTCGACTACTTCCATGGCGGCGCTGGAAGATCGTGCGAGAGCTGTCTGGGGGCAGGCGGCACTTGGCGAATCCACATAGAACACTTGTTTGACGTTTTCCCCTTTCTCTCCTCGCCTCGCGAAGGCGCGCGAGAAGGTGGCTCGCATTCTATTGGCTAGATCGGCAACCAAACACAATTTTAACGTGCTTATCCGTCGTTGCCTTCTTACTCTGCACCGTCGCCGTCGTCGTGTCGTGCTGGGTGAGCTGTGCTGCCCTGCTGCATTCGCCATCCAGTCTACGCGAGCAGGACGTGCCCTCACGACATTCCTCCATGGGGTCTTCCTCGCATGACCTCTGAGACCTTCAGGTTCGTAAGAGCTTTTAACGCGTTTGATGGCATTGCGCCGTGCATGGCAAGCCGCGCCAATTCGGTCGCGTCGGGGCCTGGGCTCGTCAGTTTCTTCTGGTGTCAGCAGCTTGAGAATCTGTGCCACATTTGTTTCCCGCGCCATGGGCGCCGCCGTCTCGGCGAGCGGCTTGGCGCCCAAGAGTATTGCCGCGAAGCTGAAGCGATGTAATTTCGGACATTGCGATTCCGCTAAGAACCTCGGCGACGATTTCAGGATCAGGTGCCGCCTTGGAGCCAGGGCCCACGCGGGCCGCGTCGGAAAGCCTCAGCATCGCGCCGTCCGTTTCCGAGCACTGCGCTCGGCGGCCACGGGCGCTAGGGGAATCTTCGTGACGGGCGGCCTACCTGCCTGCGCGCATGGAGCTCGAGCGGCGCTCGACGAGCGCACGGCGCGTCGACCAAGAGGCTCGGCCAGTTACGTGCAGCGATCGCCCGCAATGCTTTTGGGGTGTCCCAGGGGAGATCGCGAACGCTCGAGTTTCTGCTCCGCGCCGACCCTGCCCTGGACCCGACCGTGCAGGCTACGCCCCCCCCTCCCTCCAGTCGCGGGTGCAGGCCTGGCGCGGGCTGTGGTTGTCCAAGAGCCTCCTGTTCAACATTTTCAGAGCAGCTCATCATAATTCTGATTGTGACTGGAAGCAGGTCCGCGGTCCAGGTGGAGCTGTTTCCTGTGCCTTGGGGCGCGTGGGCTGGACGGCCCAACGTCCTGTCGTTTGGGGAGATGTTCGGGGCGCGATTCTGGATTCCGGTCACCTGGAAAGAAGACCCTAAGTTTCCAAGGCGGCTCTTATTCGAGGCCTCGCGGGTGCCGCCTTCCACGGGGGCGCCATGACTGCGCCCCTCGTCTCGAGCCACTGTTCGATGTCTTTGGCAGCCTCCGCTCCCGTGGCCAGACCGCTCAGGCAGCCTTCCTTGCGGGCAGTGTATCAGGGGGATGCCCCGCGCAGTGCGCGCTGTTCAAGGACCGCTGCACCGCCTGCCCCGAGTGTAAGTTCTGCGGGGAGCTGGGCACACCACAGCACCGGCTTGTTGGATGCCTAGCCACGTGGTGGGTGCGCCGAGAGCTCGATGTCCCAGAAGCTGTGGTTGACGCTGCACAGGCTGCCCCTGGCGACGTCGGCACCGCCCGCTGTCTGGTCCCCAGTCTGGCTTTTGAGGCCCCTCCCCCATCCCGTTTGGATGACTCTTAAGTCTGGAGTTTGCTTCCCCCGAGTGGCGTGATCAGTGGCAGCGTTGCTATAGACGGCTCTGCTATCTCCCCGGGGGACCTGGTTCTGGAGCGTGCTGGATGGGGGACTGTACAAGCCGGCCGTCATGGAGGTTGGGAAGGAAGCCTTTACAGCCCCCTGCCACACCCTGTCCAGAAAGCGGGGTGTACCGAAGTGCATGCTTAGCAGATGCTTTTAAGAGTGTAGGGGTGGAGCCCGTCCATGTGGTTTGCGACTGTAAGATGGTTGTATATACGTGGCACTGGACAACGCTGCGCGCGATAAGCTGTGGCGCGAGATACTCCGCAAGTGCGATGATATCACCGCGCGCGTCACTGTGGATACCGTACGGAGCCACCAGACTTACTTTGGCCAACGCTGTTTCCGAGGGCTGTGCCTGGTGGGCCTGGCGAGGCACCCGCGATGCAGGCAGACTGGCCAAGCTAAGAGCCGAGATGCACCCAGTTCCGCCGACCCTCGTGCAAGAGCTCAAGGCACAGGACTTCCTTGTGCGGTGCCGTGCTGTTTTGGTCGCGGGCATCGGCGGCGCTTTGTCTAAGCTTAATGTTGGTGCCGTCGACAGGTTGCTCGCCAAGAGGCTCAAAGCCCTTGCTGTCCTCGAGCTCTCTTCGGAAGCCAACGGTCCCGACATCGTGCGAGTGGGTAAGAGATCCGCTTGCGTGAAATGTGGAATCCGAGAATGGTCGAGACGCGCCCTCACGGCCTTTCAGTGTGCTGGTCTTCCCCGCCCTGCCCGTTTGGCCCACCCCTCCCACCGACTTTGGGGTGGTTCTGGGAGCCGCGTCTGGTGCAGTGTAGGTGGGGCGTGTTCGGCACGCACAAGGTGATCCTCCTTGCTAAGGCCTGCAATGGCGGCCAGCCGTCCCCTGAGTTTTCTTCAACTGGTGGGGTAGACCCTTTCTTCGGGAGTGGGCTTGGCTGGTCGATTCCTTTCCAGCGAGGTTGATCCCTGGTCACAGTGCCGAACGCCCCCTTCTTGTGCCACGTGTTGCATCAGCGGGACGTGGTGCGCCACCGACCTAAAGGACCTAGAGGAGGAGGAGGAGGAGGAGGAGGAGGAGGAGGAGGAGGAGGAGGAGGAGGAGGAGGAGGAGGAGGTAAGGATGTAAAGAGGGATGAGGAGGAAGGAGACGGAGGAGGAGGAGGAGGGCCAAACAGGTGTTTTTTCTTCTGGGAAGGGGCCGACTCGGGAGAGAGAAGGTAGAAAGCCGAACGTCACGCTTCGTGTTGCAGAGAGAGGGGATGCTAGAGAGAGGAAGGGAGGAACATAGCAAAAGAGAGAGGGAGAGAGAGAGTGAGAGAGAAGGAGAGAGAGAGCACTACGTAGGTCATGCGGCGCAGCTTTCTCCTGCATGTGCGATCCGCAGGCCTACGATACGTTCATGACCGACTCCTCCGCGGACAAGGAGGCGAAACAGACAGACCACGACCACAAGACGGCCAAGAAGGAGGATCAGGAACACACCGGGGGGAGGGGATGAGGAGTAGGAAAGAAGAGGGGCAGCGGGTCCCGCTGTCGTTCTTCCTTCCCCTATCCTCATCCCCTTCCTCCCGCTAAGCGGGAGGAGGGTGATGGACGAGGAGGGGGGCAGGGGAAAGGGGGGGGGGAAGCAGGGAGGAGGAGACGGTGCACAAAGGATGATTCTGGCGGATTGCACAGTCTTGAGAGTAAACAGATGACTCCGAAAGGGTCCGCGTGTCTGTTGGGATGAAGAAAAAGTGAGGCGGTGTTCCTGTGGGCAGGATTTGTCCCCTCAGGGAGCTCTTACCGTACTATAACCGAAGGGCGAGTGCGGTTCTGATAAGCAAGTGGGGTGAGGGTTTCCCGCATGGGGATGCGGGTGCCCAGAGGGCGAATGATTTGACAGCCCCAGTGGGGCGCAAAACATAGAACCAACGCGTGATGGCGGTGCTACGTAATCAGCAAGCTGAGTACTGAAGAGTGGTATTGAGTGAGGAGGAAGACAGGGAGGAGGACGAGGAAGGTGAGGAGGAGGGAGGGAGGAAGGGAGGACGGGGCGGATGAGGAGGAGGAGCAGGAGGAGGAGGAGGAACAGGAACAGGAACAGGAACAGGGATAGAAGGAGGATGACGGTGTCAGGGGAGCGGCGAAGGAGAATGGGAAACATGATGATGATGAGGAGGAGGAGGAGGAGGCGGAGGAGGCGAAACAGGGGGAGGGGGAGGATGAGGAGGAGGATGAGGAAGACAATGTCAGGGAAGGGACGAAGGAGCATGGGAAACATGAGGCTGAGGAGGAGGAGGAGGAGGAGAAGGAGGAGGAGTAGGAGGAGGAGGAGGAGCAGCATGGAGGAGGAGGAGGAGCAGGAGGAGGAGGGGAACGAGGATGGGAGGTAATTGGTATTGGGGTGGGTCAGAGAGGAAGTTGAGGATGAGGGGAGAAGGAAACGGTTGACGATGAGGTGGGAGGGAAGTGTGGAAGAGGCAGGAGGCGGCGGAGGCGGATGATGAGGAGGAGACTGACTGCACTGGGAGGTGTTGCCCGCCAGATGGGCTTCCTCGCTTCAGCTCGCCCGCCCGACCCAGGAGCAGATGCTGGGCTCGAAGAAGGAGGACCTCGCCAACACCCAGAAGGACTGGGCCCCGTCGAGAGAGGGACGATGCCTTCACCGCGACGAAAGGAAGGGGTCTTGAGGCAAAGTGGCCATGAATGTGTTGTTAGTTGTTGTTGGGTCTTCCTGTGTTGTGGTGCATCTATATATGTATTTATCGGAGGTGAGGGGGTGAGATCGAAGTGGAACGGAGAGCCCCCCTACTGGGAAATCGGTTTCGGTTTCGTGTTCGTGCGTGCCGGGCGTGCGGGCGAGGCGAAGCTGCGTGGGCGGGCGAGAAATACGTCTCCTTTTAGCTGAGGCGCGGCTGGCCAAAAGTCTCCGTTCTGGCAACCGGTGCCCCGCGGTGTCCCGCTGGTGTCCCGCTCGGGGGCCCGTGGCGCGCGGTGTCCCGCCGGTGTCCCGCCGGTGTCCCGTCGGTGTCCCGATGATGATGATGATGATGATGATGATGATGATGATGATGATGATGATGATGATGATGATGATGATGATGATGATGATGATGATGATGATGATGATGTTGATGATATTGACGATGATGATGATGGTGATGGTGATGGTGATGGTGGTGATGATGATGGTGTGCCGATGATGATGATGATGACGATGATGATGATGTTGACGATGTTGATGATGATGATGATGATGATGATGATGATGATGGTGATGGTGGTGATGATGATGGTGCCCCAGTGATGATGCTGTTGGTGTTGATGATGCTGCTGATGATGATGATGATGATGTTGATGATCATGATGATGTTGATGATGACCAGATGGTTTGATGATGATGATGATGAAAATGATGATGATGGTGTCCCGATGCTGCTGCTGATGATGATGATGGGTTTGATGATGATGATGATGGTGCCCCGATGGTGATGATGATGGTGGTGATGGTGTCCCGATGATGATAATGATGATGCTGATGACGATGATGGTGTCCCGATGATGATGATGTTGATGATGAGGATGATGCTGTTGATGATGATGATGATTTTGATGATGGTGGCCCAACCATGGTGATGAGGATGCTGCTGTTGATGATGATGATGGTGTCCCGATGATGTTGATGATGTTGATGATGATGGTGATGATGATGATGATGATGATGATGGTGATGGTGACGATGATGATGGTGTTCCGATGGTGATGATGAAGTTGATGATGATGATGTTGCTAATGATGATGGTGATGGTGCCCCGATGATGATGATGCTGATGACGTTGTTCATGATCTTGATGATCAGATGATGATGGTGATGATGGTGGTGTTCCGATGATGATCATGATGATGATGATGATGATGATGATGATGATGATGATGATGATGATGATGGTGTCCCGATGATGATGATGTTGATGATGATGAAGGCGATGATGGTGTCCCGACGATGCTGATGATGATGTTGATGACGTTGATGACGATGATGATGATGATGATGATGATGATGATGATGATGATGATGATGATGATGGTGAATGTGATAGCGATTGCGATATCGATAGTGGGGTCGATAGTGAGATCGATTGTCAGATCGATCGTGAGATCGGTAGTCAGACCGATTGTGAGATCGATCGAATGAAATAGATCGAGTGAGATCGATTGTGAGATCGATCGGGCGACATCGATCGAGCGAGACCGATAGTGAGATGGATATTGAGATCGATAGTGAGACCGATCGAGTGAGATGTTGGTTCCCCCCCCGAACCTCCTTATCACCCGGAGGGTGGTCGTATAGGTATACGCATATCCGTAGCCATTTTGGCTCAAGTAAACGATTTCCCCAAGGCGGCATCCAGGTGCCCACTTGAGTGAGCGAACGACCCCGGCCTTCAGGCGGCTTCAAGGCCAAGGCTGGTTTTATCTCGACACACGACAATCTGTTACTGCGACCTGACGGTCTGTCCCTCAACTTCACGTGCAGGCTCCGCTTCAGTCCTGCGGGGTCTATGCCTGGCCGCGATGACACCAACGGGGATCGGAGGTCTCTCCCGCGCAAGCCTCCGAGCCCGCGTGGTGCCGCTCCTGCCTTGGTGGTGGCCGTTGGCGGGGAGGCATATGACGGACGCAAATGCTCTCGCAGTCCTCATCTTCGTGACCCTCTGGTCGCCGTTGATCCATGAGCCCCGAATGCCAAAGCCGACGGGTCTCAGCTGTAAGGCGCTACTTCTGGGATTCCTGTGCTGCCTGAGCCTGGTGCCACGGGCAACGACGAGGAGGGTATCAAGTCCGACGACTCTTTTGACTCAAATGGAGGCGTCGAGCATCCATATTTCGTCGCGTAGCAGGCCAAGCAACCTGTCCAATGCGGCGAGCTTGAGAATATCCTGGCCGACATGCGCGCATACATCGTCCAAACTAGCCACTCTTCCCACGCGAAACTGGCTGCCGACCTCTCGAAAGCAACAACCAAGGCCATCACTTCAGTCATCCGGAAACAGGAAGCGAAGAACGATGAAGTTGACCTCCACATCGAAGGTTTCGACCGCGGAGTGGCTAAAGTTGAACGGGGCCAACAGGTCATGCGGAAGCAGCTCCAGCTGATGCGGCAGCAGTGACATATCATGAAGACGACCGCCCCGCCAGCCTTCGACATCTCTGATGCGGTCAACTTCTCTCGACCCGCGAACAAGACTATCTGCGTGGCCAACTCGAAGGAACTTGCAGCCATCGAACAGGTCACGAACGCCGTCAAGGGCTGGCTCGGTGACGCTGGCTTCAACGATGCTCAGTGGGAGGTCGAAGGCAATTCTCCTGGGCGTTGATTTCATATACACTTCCAACCATACCACTGTTTGAGGACATGGAGCGTTGGCAGCCCGACATGTCGTCCACGCGATCAGGCACTTCAAATACCCAGATGGGAGTTGGCGCTAATCCGAATGTTCAATGGCGGCTGGTGGTCGCGCTGCTCTGTTTAACGGCCTCGACAAGAATCCTCGACAAACCATGCGCGAAGTTCCGACAAACAATATCGCATTCATCATTGCAGAACAGTTCAACACTCGTGTCCGAGCCAACAGGTACCAAGGTGTGGTCGCTCTCGGCGGCGTTCCCATTGCGCGTCTCGTCGTCGCTGGTGGGTTGGAGGAACCCATGACGCTGGAGTCAGTGTATCATGCTGCTACTGACCGTGATGTCCCCAACGGCGCCATCAAGTCCGACGTCGACACCATGTACGGACTGTCTGATAAAGAACAGTGGTTGATTTAGCTCGCACTCATATCTGTGGCAGCTCCCTCGCATGCAGAAAGGCCACGCTAGGATGGGAGCGTGGAACGCTCGCGCTCTACGACGCCACAGTGACGAAATGCGAACGATGCAGTTTGTAGTTCAGCTCCTGAAGCAAAGGGGCCGCATTGGCTGCCAAGGAGGCCAATGCCAACGTGATTCAGTTGCGCTGACAGCTACATCGGCTCCACATCTCACATAAGGTATTCTCGACGCTCCGCGTATCCCCACGAGCCCGCCGTCTGGACCCCCCTGGCAACCGCCGCCCTGCCGCCGACCACAGCCTGGTAACGGCTCCCGGGCTTTCGCCCTCAGTCCCTGGCGTCTGTTGGTGTCCGTGGTGGCTCCTTTGAGCCGGGTGAGATACCCCTGGCGTCCCGGTGACTTGCACGTCGACCAGCTCCAGCCAGCATGCTCGCATGTTCCTGGCCCCTGGTCCCCAGACACTGCAACAGCCTGGCCGTGTTTGCAGCTGCCGCCTTGCCATGGTGGGATTCACCTCCACGTGGATTGCTCATGAGTGGTTTAGCCTTCTTGTTCAAGCACCTGAGGTTGCTGTTGGCATGCGACACAGGTGCGCTGGGTTGCTTGCTCAGCTTGACGCTATGCCGTGCTTTGCTCGGGTGGCTCGTTTACCTCTGGCGCCTGGCGCGACAAGGTACAATTCGTTTGCCTTCCCGGTGGTCTCGCCACTGGTCTGGTTGCACTTCAGCCGCCTGGCACACCTGGCACCTCTTGCAGCTCTGCCTTCAGTCCCCGGCGTCGCTCCTCGGCGTCCCTCGGCGGCAGTTTCGGCGGTCGTTAGTTCGCGCGCTTAGGTAATTAGGTTTGGCTTGTAGCCTGGGCTGACTTCAGACGCCGCCTGCGCTTCCACTTGCGGCCGCGACGAAAACTATCCCCACGAACCCATCCAGAAACGATGCGCCTGAGAGTTGACGGGGGGAGAGAGGAAGAGACACGCATAATCAAACAGCGAGGTGGGCTTGGGAGGCTCCGTGGCCATCTCGAGCCGTCTTGGAGCGGTCTTGGGGCCTCTCGGGGCATTGTGGGGGCATCTTGAGCAAGCTTGGACCATCTTCAGCCATTTTGGAGGTCATCTAGGGCGCTCTGAGGCCGCTCGGAGGCCATTCGGGTGCCTCTTGGAAGCCTCTCGGAGGCCTCTTGGGGCCCTCTTGGGGCCTCTTGGGGCGCTATTGGAACCCTCTTGGGGGCTTCGGGGGAGCCCTCGAGGGCCTCTTTGAGCCACTGTGAGTCGCTCGGGGGCCTCTGGGGGCCTTTCGGGTGCCTTTCGGAAGTCTTTTGGGGCTTCTTTGGGCGCTTTCTGGGCCCTGTTGGGAACCCCGAGAGCCCGCAGGCTTCGTCACGACAGGCCAGGTCCAGCCTCCGCATTGGCTTCCACGAGAGGGCGCGGGGGGGGGGCGCCGGCCTCCCAGCCTCGACTTCTGCGCGCCGCGCCGAGTCAGCGCGGGTGCGTGCGGGGCCGGGTGGTGCATAACCGTGGGCGCTGGCCGGAAGCTCTGTTGAGTCTACGTGCGTCGTAGTATTGAGATGTTGCGATCGGCGTTTTGCGGGGGAACGCGGCGGTTACCTACGGCCGGATCTAGACCCTCATGTTCTCCGTCTTTGCCCCTCCTGACAGTGCTGACGAGAGAGTTCATGCCCGCGCATGCTATATCTGTGTTATCATCATATTATTTCCTAGTCCTTCCCAACTTCGCCTCCTCTCTTCTTCCTTCCCTCCTTTCCGTCCTGGCCTTCCCTTGTGAAAGGGGGTTGCAGGCGGCGCAGGCGGCGCCCTGTCATGTCAGTGTCCATGCCGATCTGGGATTCGATATCCCCCAATGCGTGTTAGCTTTTTGGGAATCTCACTCGTCTTTCTAAGCAAATGGGTTGGTCGACCTGCAGGTTTCACCCACTGCGCCTTGTGGGCGCCCCGTGCCCTGCCTGGGTCCGCCGAGGTTTCGCCCACGTTCCCGCCCGCGGGTGCTTCATGGGCGCTTCGTGGCCTGGGCGGGTTCACTGAAGTTTCGCCCTCGTGGCCGCCTCGTGCCCTGGGGGGCCGGGGTCGCCGAGGTTTCGCCACGTTCCCGCCTCGTGGGCGCCTCGTGGGCGCCTCGTGCGCTGAGTGGGCTACCGGTCCGATTCGATGTAGGCCCCGTGCTGATGCAGCCCGATCCGGCACACGCTCCGATTCCACCCGACTTCACGATTCGATGTTCTTGCTTCGTCTTCTTTCCCAGTCGCGCCTTCAGTGCGACCCTCAGGAGGGTGGACGGGTTCGGGAAGTTGCCTCATCTTGCCGACCGGGCCGCCCAAACATGGGCTGGAGCGGGAGGTGTTGGAGGGTCGCGCCGCATTGCCGATGCATCCCTCGATGCGGCGAGATTTGGAGCAAGATTTGTTTCATATCCCGACGTCGCCGATGCATCGCGGGAGCACCGCTGGTGCAACGATGATGCAGCGCGATTTTCCGACCCCGCCTGCTCACAACCCCCATTCGGGCGGCCGCCAACTGCAGGAGCTCGACGCCGCGATGGCGTATTTCGACAAGCTGAAGCCCTCTTGCGTGGACGCCTCCGTGAGCTACGACACCCGCGTGAGCAACCGCAAGGAGCGCCGCCGTCCGGCCGGGGGCGCCCGCTGGTCGAGCAGATCAGGGGCAACGTTATCGACCCCGAATCGCCCATTCATCGCCGATGCGGGCCCGACAGCCCACCCCGCCCAGGAACGCGCGGATTCGCTATAGGGGTCTGTCCAAGCCACATAACGACCACGACTTCTGGGGCAGCCGGCCCTCCGTGCTCACGCGGTCGCAGTCGCAGAGCGCCGCGACTGCGCCCCCTCGGGGGACGTCAGCTGGACCACCTCACCGGTCCTGGCCGGACCCCATCCTGGGCCCACGATCGGTGTATATGCCTCCCCGATGCCCGTCCGCCTTCTGGGAAGCCTGGGGACCCTTCGAAGAAGCCCTCTGCCTCATTAGATTTTCAGGGAAGGCGGCCCTCCTCGCCCACACTCCCCTGTGCGCACCGCCGAGGGAGGGCGTGCTGGACTGAGGCAGTGCCGCACCGTTCAATTAGCTACACCAACTTGCTGCACTCAATCGGAGCACGATCTGCATCCACACCCACTTTCAGTGGCGCGCGCACGGGGATGGTGCGAGAGACCTGCTCCTTGTGGTGCGAGGTCACAGGCAGCCATCCATCAACAACAGCAACGGCTCCCACCCAGGAGGACTACCGAGGTTTCTGAAAGGGTTCCATCAGCCCTACGGAGGCCCAGAGCGGCAAAACTTAGAATGAAAGGCAAATCCTTAAATTGAAAGGTGAATCCTCCCCCTGTTCCTCCCCCTGGCAAAACCATGTATCTTGCAGGACAGCAGCAAATCTTCCCTCCCCAACAGCTGGACGGGGATGCCCCAGGCAGGCCCTGGTCCGCAGCAGTTGCCAGGCCCGCGCACACATGTTTCGCAGGTGCTCAGGCAGCTTTTCCCCATGCGCCCGTACCTTTGACTCGTTCCCTCCCTCCCTCACCTTGCCCCCGAGGTCGCAGTCTTTTGTGACGCGCTCCCCTGCGGATCTCGACCCCGTTTTTCTGGGGCTGGCCTTCCATGCTGTGTTGCCTCTTGACGGTCGCGGGGCCAGGAATCTGCCCCCAGAGGCAAATGGCACCCAGAGGCTAAGCGGCTCTACACAATTACGATGGGGGGTCACGGTGGGGGGATCGGGATGTGTGGATAGGGATGTGGGGATAGGGATTGGAATCGTCATGGGGATAGGGATATACGATAGGGACAGGGATAGGGAGGCCACTGGAGTCAGCGAGGGGCCAAGGAAGACACCGGGAGACAACGGGAGGCCACGAGAGACGAGGTGAGACAATGGAAGACAATGGGAGAGAATGCCGCCCGACCGATTCCAGATCTGACAGCGCACCTCTTGGTCTCTCAGAACAGTTGTGCGCAATACATACATGTGTATAGCCCTTGCAGACAAGCTGCTCGGGCACACACCTGAAACAAGAAACTGCGCTGGCACGATTTGTTTGGCGTCGCCAAGGTCTTCTGGCCACCCCTCCTCCCTCCGACCGCGACCCCCGCCCAGGTCGACAACACGTAAGAGTGCCCCCTCGCGCACGAAAGGTCACCCCTGCCTGGGGTCACTCTTGCGTGTAGCCGATGCGACCGCGACCCCCGCCCAGGAGGAGATCGAGTCGCTCCAAGAGGCCCTGAAGATACTGAACGGCGAGGACATCCCCTGAGCGCAGCAAGCGGGGCGGCAGACGGCCCGCTGGGAGCCCCCAGGATGTGCCGTGCGCCTCGCGGTCCAAAGTGTCCGCCTCGCTCCTTCTCGCTCGGGACCTGGCGCGCTTCTGCCTCGAGGGAGGGCGGGGAGCGGGATGGGGACGAGGACGAGGAGCAGTACTTACGAGGACGACGACGAGGAAGTTCGACGGGGGGGTAGCGGTGGAGCATGAGGAGGAGGAAGATCGAGGGGGGGAAGGGACACATCAGAAGGATGGTGAGGAGACGACGACGACGGCAACCATGATGATGATGATGCTGATGATGATGATGATGATGTTGATGATGATAATGATGCTGTTGCTGTTGATGGTGATGCTGATGGTGGTGATGATGATGATGGCGATGATGATGCTGATTGTGATGATGATGATGGTGATGATGCTGGTGCTGGTGCTGATGCTGACGGTGCTGCTGCGAATGATGAAATTGATGCTGATGATGCTGATACTGATGGTGGTGATGATGACGACGTTCATGATGCTGATGATGATGCTGGTGGTGGTTTGATGATGGTGATGCTGATGCTGATGATGACGACGATCATGATGGTGTTGATGGTGATGATGCTGTTGCTGCTGATGATGTTGTTGATGATGCTGCGATGATGCTGCTGACGATGATGGTGATGATGATGATACTGATAATGAAACTGGTGCTGGTCACGGTGATTGTGGTGATGATGATGATCATGCATATAAGTGTGATGTTGAGGATGATGATGATGCTACTGCTGATGCTGACGATGATGGTGGTGATGATGAGGTTGACGATGCTGCTACTGATGATGCTAATGGTGATGACGATGGTGGTGATGTTGATGATGACGATGATGCTAACGCTGCTGATGATGCTGATGATGGCGGTGATGCAGCTGATGATGATGGCAATGATGATGACGATGCTGATGCTGATGATGATTGTGATGCTGCTGATGATGACGATGACGAAGCTGAAGATGATGATGATGATGATGATGATGATGATGATGATGATGCTAATGATGGTGCTAATGATGATGACGATGCTAGTTTTTATGATAGGTGGATGGTTATGATGTTGGTGGTTGTGGTGATGGTGAGATGGTGGTGGTTATGATGATGGTGATAATGGTGATAGTGATGTTGATGATGATGCTGGTGGATGGTGATGATGCTGCTGATGAGCATGCTGGTGATGATGACACTGATGATGTTGATGGCGATGATGATCGTGGTGATGGTGGTAGTGGTGGTGGTGATGGTGATGCTGGCGATGATGGTAATGATGATGCTGCTGATGATGATGATGATGCTTCTGCTTCTGCTGATGATGATGGTGGTGGTGATGCTGATGATGATTAAGATGGTGGTCCTCCTCTTCCTCCTCCTCCTCCTCCTCCTCCTCCTCCTCCTCCTCCTATTCTTCTTTCCTCTTTGGGTACTTGCACTCCTCCTCCTATTCTTCTTCCTCCTCCTTTCCACTGGGCCCTCACAGATGCTGCGCGCGCTCGTGGTTGCGCACAGCCCACGCAGGAGGTGGGAGCGCCCCGCGTGCCGCGCCGGCTGTGCCCCGCAGCGCTGCCGCGCGGCGCCTCGAGGCGGCCTGTGGTTGCCACGTCGGGCGCAAGGGCGGCTCTTCACGACCTTTCGTTGCCCTGATACGGTCAACCCGCATAGTGAGGATGGGCAACCCTCCCAAGGGTACCACTGCATCCTTGCCTCCTCGGTCCATCCTTTGCCGCTTTCGCTGGCCGCGCCCCGCTCGAAAAGCTTCGAAATGGGCGTCCAAGGCCCTTGCATCCTTATCGCGCATCCTTTCCATACTGGTTGACTGTACGCCTGTTCTGAAACGCAACACGTACCGTGCTCAAACTGTCCGTGTTAAACACGTTGCTTGTTGGCTCGGTACGTGCTGGCCCACGTTTGCTGCGCTCCTGCGCGAGGATGAGCTCCGGCCCGGCCGTCCCCGTCCTTGGCGGTGCCTGCAGGAGGTGCCCGTCGCGACGCAGGACCGCCTGCGCCTGGGCTTCCGCCGTGAAGCCTGACTGCCCAGAGAGCCCCTCGTCGTCCCCAGCGTGTCTCCAGAACAGGCGTACAGTCAAGGGGCGTTGGTTTTCGGAGGTTGGTGGTGCGTCCTCGGCGGGGGAGGAGGAGGAGGAGGAGGAGGAGGAGAAGGAGGAGGAGGAGAAGGAGGAGGAGGAGGACGAGGAGGAGGAGGAGGATGAGGAACATGGACCCGTTTGGGTTCCGGTGGGGCTCTTGGTGTCCGGGCTGTTCCTCTGCCCTTTGTCGGGGAACCGATTCGTGGCCGAGGCCCGACGTGGCCAGAAATGCCACCGTACTCGATCTTCGGCGCTCCTCATTGTAGCACGATGACTTCGGTGGAGCTGCACCGCCTCCTCTGCGATATGCCGTTCGCCAAAACAATCCGCGAGTCTGCGGGGGGGGCCGCCCCTGCGGGGCCAGCAGCTGGTGGGGCGAGGAACCCAGCGCCCCGTGCCCCGTGGCTTTTCTCGCTCCGAGGAATCGATTCAACAGCCAGCGGCAGCATGGATGGAGGCAGCAGCTTAGATCCCCGACGGTCTCCTCCAGGACGGCTCGATCGGCGGCGCGGAGAACTCGGCGCGGCGGTGCGCGGACAGCGCAGAGTCGGTCGTGCGGCGCTCCTAGCTCTGGCCGCCGATCACCTCTGGACTCGTGACGCCCAGAAACGGCGCGCGACATTTGCCCGCGTGCCAGGGATCCCGCCAGCTTCGGCAGTCGGCGCCTGGAAGGTCAGCTATGCGTCGAGCCCATCGGATCCGTCGAGGCGTACCGTCACATGCGGGAGGACGGGGCGGCTAGTCATGCCGCGAGGGAGGTGGGTCGAGGGCTTGTCGCAGCGCGCTCCCTCCGCGGACGCGTTCTGGGTGCCAGCGAGCATTTACCCCGAGGAGGGCGGGACGACGAGCCTGATGAAATGATGGGCATCGCCATCGTGCCCGCGGACCCGAATGAGAAGTGGCTGGCGCTGCGTGATGCGTCATGGTGTCGCTGGGCTTTCACTTCTGCGCGCGCGGCCCCTGCGCAAGACTCTGGCGGGCGTCTGGGCGACCAGCTACAGTGTGGGCGTCGCGGTCCCGCAAGATGACGCGCGTCTTCGGCTTTCGGGCCAGGGCGAGAAGTCGCGTTGCAGGACATACGCTCGGCTGCCGCGCCACCTGTCCCGTCCGCGCGGTCGCGCCAACGACTGGATCATCGTGCGCCTCGGTCTCCGTGAGGGCCTCTTCCTCCTCCTGCTGCCCCTCCCTTCTGGGGGGCCGGTGATGCCAGCCCGCGCAAAGGCCCCGCGGGCCATCTCCAAGCCCCCCCTCGTCGTAAGGAACAGATGCATGACGGGAAGTGTCTCGTTGGGGGGCCCTCACGGGGCAACGGCCCAGGGCCTCGACGCGAAGATTTAGTATGAAACGCCAGTTTGGGGCCTCCACGAGAGTCCAGGACCAGTCATCGCCTCATCGCTTCCCTCTTCATCGCCTCATCGCTTCTCTCTTGTGTACATATGTATGTATATCAGTATCCCCGTATGTTTTCTCTCTCTCTCTTTCTTTTTTTCTCTCTCGCTCTCTCTCTCTCTCTCTTTCTCTAGGTATGTGTGTCTGTCCTTACTTGTCTTGTTGTATCCTCTCTAGCGTACGAGCATCACCATGAGTCCGACTCACTCCAGAGAGGATGCTGAGGAGGGTGATGATGATGACTTGCATGAGCAGGAGGGGGATGGGAAGGACGACAGGAAGGTCTAGAGGGATGATGATGGATCAGGGCTAGGGGTATACGTATGTGCAGATGCGGAGGAGGAGGAAGGATGACAAAGGAGGAACGAGGAATGATGAAGATGGAAGGAGGACGGAGGCAGGAGGGAGGACAAAGCAAGGAGGCATGAGGAAAGCATTAGAAGGAGGAGGAGGAGGAAGATGATGAGGAGGAGGAGGAGGAGGAGGAGGAGGAGGAGGGCAGGACGGAGAGGAGGAGAAGGAGGAGAAGGAGGAGGAGTTGGGGAAGAGGGGGATAAGTTGGAGGAGGAAGATGGAGGAGGAGGAGGAGGAGGAGGAGGAAGAGGAGCAGGAGGATGAGGAGAAGGAAGATGGAGGAGGAGAAGGAGGAGGATGAGGAATTTGATGATGATGATTAGGAGGAGGACGGAGGAGGAGGAGGAGGAGGAGAAGGAGGACGGAGGATGACGCAAAAGGACGGATGAGGCGGAGGAGGAGGAGGAGGGCGGATGTGGAGGGAGGAGGAAGTGGAGGAGGAGAAGTCCTTCCTCCCTCCCTCACTCTCTCCCTTGTCCGTCGTCGCAGTCGACCCAACAAGTTGTCCAGGAGCGTGCTCCGAGTATTTCCGTCATCATCCCCCTCCTCCCACTCATGCTGCAGTCGTTGCTTCTCCTGCTCGTCGTCGTCGTCGTCGTCCTCCACCTCCTCCTCGCCCTCCCTCTCATTCCCTCCTCCTCCTCCTCCTCCTCCTCCACTCAAGTGCGGCGCAGGCCCCGCAGCAATTTCCGTAGTGTTTTTTCGCTCGGCGCCCTAGCCCCGTCCCCGCCTCATCGTGGCACTTGGGTGGCACCGGGGCAACCTCATCCTTTTCGTGACGTTCAACCGGTGGCGAAGGGGGACGAAAGTCAGGCTCGGCATTTTTGTTTTTATGCTGGCTGTATTGCTGGCCCGGGTGTCATCAGCTACCATGTTGGTATCTCCCATATCCGCCTGGGGAGGGTATGCTATATATCTGGTGGTGTGGGGCCCATTTGTTTCATATTGTGGTGGGCTGTCAGTGCTGGTGCACATGATGCGTTCAATGTGCTGTCATTCTTAGCGTCTTCTTCTTTGTTCGGCTGCCGTCGGGCGCGGCGTCTCACAGCATTCAGTGTGATTGTTTGGCCTGGCAGTCAGTTTTGTGTATCGAGGGACCTGAGTGGCTTTCAGTTCACAATAATGGTGAAGTTCACAACCCTGTCAGCGATGCCAAGCTGCGTATCTCGGGCCTGAGTGTGCAATGGGTTTGTCACAGCTTTGGTTGGCATCGCAACACACAATATCGGTGGGATTCT